TATTTTTTACCGACTCTTCAAGGAAAGAAAAAACATTGATTTTCTAGGCACAGGAAAAGTCTATAAAAATCTCGGATTTTAAAGACTCTTGAAAGAAACTTGTCGTCTCATTAATTTTTTTTTTAGATCTTCATAAAATTCACTGTATTTTATTTTCAAAATATGCTTTTATCAAATATAACTATAGGGAGCAGGGAATGGTATAAAAATAACATTTCATAATTTTTATAAAATTGATTTAGTAAAATTAAAAATGAATATTTGTGCCATTTAAACTTTTTTTGTAATTGAAGGTACTTATCTGTGACCAACGGTGGAAAAAATAAAAGACATTTACGGATGCAACATATTTTTAGCTAAAACTTTATGTACAATACAAACTATCGACGTTATAAAGATCATTAGCGAAGTTTTACTAAATTTTTGGACATTTATGGTAAGCTCCCATGAGCATGTTATTTGCCTTTGAGATGGGAAATGACATGAGAAAATGCAAATGTTTCTGGTATTTAAACCATATCTTTAAATTATTTTCCACACGGCATTGCCCTTAACTTATTGTCAGAGCGTTAACATTCGACGAAAGATATGATGTTTGATTTACCTTATGAATTCAATCAGTCTGTAACTCTTTATTAAGCTGAGAGATTTAAAAGCAATGCAGTAGGTGCCACGTATTGTGATAGTTTTTGTCTACGGCCATTTTGATGGTATTAAACAAATGATAACATTAAACTATGAGGGGAAAATATCCTTTAAAATAGCAATGGAACTTAACTCCTTTAATATAAATATAACATATAAAATATAATAACATATAAACATATAAAATAAATATATAATAAAATAAATAACATATAAAAATAAATAACATATAAAATATATAAATATAACATATAAATATACTTCTTTCAAAATAGGCGATTTCAAAGCATTTTAACTGAGAAAATGCAAAAGCTTGTTTATGAATTCTTCATAATGTTTTTATTTATTAATGCGAAAGTTCATTTACGAAGGGCTCATGACGTTTTTAGAAGTTATTTGACGGATGCCATACTCCTAACTTTAATATTGGGAAAACATCCCTCATTGGAACAGAACTTAACAATATAAAATTTTAAATTAGTCAAAAAAAAAAAAAAAAAAAAAAAAAAAAGAAACCTTAGTTTGGTGTAGATCAGGGATGTCAAACTCATAGGTACACTTGGGCAAAGAAACAAGGTTTAACTTTAGGCGGGCCGAAAAAAAAAAAAAAAATCAATATTCATAGAAACGTACATTTATTTCGAATAATACAAAATAATAAACAATATATATATATATATTTATATAGAAAAGAACAAGAAAAATTTAATGTTTACGTCCTGATACTTGACATCTCTTCTCTGCTATTATCTTTCCTATTTCGGGAGAAATTTTGTTTGCAGTGATGATAACTTTCAACTTTCACAACGCTGACCCAAGGTGAGCATCATTAATACGGTTTCTAATAGAGACTTATTACCTTTCATGACTGAAAATAACTGCTCGCACCGATAAGTGCTACCAAACATGGAAATAATTTCATATGCGAATTTTCGAGTATTTTCAAACCTGGCTGGTAAATATTTGTAAAATTCAGGCACGCCCACTTCAATGAATTTTGCTTTCAAATTTGAGTTGCATTGAATCTCGATCACCTCCATTTGCATATGGCTGGGTACTGAGTCAATACTTATTGAAAAAATTCGAAGGGGAAAAAAAAAAAAAAAAAATTGTCTTGGAGGGAACTAAAATCATTAAACCTAGTTTCAAATTCAGTTGTTAAATTTGCAATTTTTTCTGCGTATTTTTGATACGAACAAGTATCATCTAAACTTGATTTGTTCATGCTGCACGTCGGGAAGTGCGTCAAATCTTCATTTTTAAGTTGTTTTTCCCAAAGAACTAGTTGACATTTGAATGCTTTAATTATGTCAAACATGTTCGTAATGATATGATCTTTTCCTTGTAACGATAAATTTAAATCGGTTAAGTGTTTGGTTACATCAACCAAGAAAGATAAATCTTGTATCCATATTGGATCGTAAAACAAACTTACGTCTTGATTTTTCGTTTTTAAAAACTGACATATTTCTTCTTTCAAATCCCAGAATTGTTTGAGATTCTTGGAGCAAGATAACCAACATACCTCGGTAGAGTAGGACAAACCCAAATATTCACTATCTAACTCACTTAAGAAAGCAGTGAATTGACGCTGATTTAAACCTCGTGATCTTATAAAATTTATAACTTTTTTTATATATGACAAAACATTCTCCATATTTATTACTTTCGTGCATAGAACTTCTTGATGTATAATACAATGCATATGATGTATGTTTGGACCGTGAATTTCACTAAGTTTTTTTTCTTAGTAATGCTACGAAGCCCTTGTTTTTCCCGGTCATTGATGGAGCGCCATCTGTAGCTACAGAATTTAATTTTGCCAAAGGTAGATTGTATTTCTGCAGAAGTCCAAAAACACAATTAAATATATCTTCTCCTGTGGTAGTACCAGGCATCGGTATTAGTTCCAGTAATTCCTCAAAAATGTTAAAATTCTTGTCACAAGAACGAAGAAACACTGCTAATTGAGCTTTGCCACTAATGTCCGTGCTCTCGTCACAGCCAATGCAGAAACTTTCGAAACTAGATGATTTTGCTTTGATCTGATCACTTAAATTCGCGGCTAAATCAGTAACTCTTTCCGCAACTGTATTTCGAGACAATGAAATTGATTGAAAAGTCTTCACATTTCCAGGACAAACAATTTCTCCAGCTTTCATTAGGTATTCCTTGATGAAATCACCGTCAGTAAATGGCTTCGAATGTTTAGCTATCAACTCGGACAAGACGTAGCTTGCATGTACCGCCGCTTCACTTTCTTGCAATACTTTACTAAACATGGACTGTTGCTTTTTCACTCCTAACTTGAGCTCTTTCAACTTTTCTTCTCTCATTAATCCTTCGTAATTGCTATATTTCGATTTGTGTTGTTCGTAATGACGTTTAATATTATATAACTTTGGTACATTAATAGTATTATTACATATCAAGCAGATTATTTTATCTTTTATTTCACAGCAAAAATATTCTAATTCCCATTTTACTTGGAATATTCTATGTTCGTCAGTGATTTTTCGTTTAATTTTACTACCACTTGGTTTTGATATAGACCTACTGAATACAAAGGGCTGGAATAAACACGGTTAACGTTAAAAAGTTAACAAAAATTTATTCTTTCCACAAGAGATAAATCAAAATGCTGAAATATTTCTTCAAAAATATTCTAACAATATCACAAAATGTCAAACGTTTAGCAAAAAGCAATTCAAAACACAGAAACTAATTCTATCTCAGAGCGAAATCGCTACAAATCAATCACAGCATTAAGTAAACAAAGAGTTCCAGTTCGCTAGAACTACACAGATGAGTTGTTTCTTCTCGGCTTTTATAAGCTTTATAATTAATTTCTCGAATATACTGGAAACATCTATAAATATCTGGATTTTTGTGTAGGGCAACAGCAATTACGAGATATTTATTTATTAGGTATTAAATGCACGCGCTATTCTATTTTTAACCTTCCAACGTAGCTGTCTTTTCAAAAATCGTCTGCGTTGCTAAGGCAGCATGAAGCAAATGTAATTACAATTCTAAATAAAAAAAACTAACTAAATAAATAACTATGAAATCCGTAACAATATGAATTAAGTAATAATTAATAATAAAGCAAAGTGCATGCACATGCATACACCAATATATCGTACAAAACTATGAAAAACTGAGACCATGAGTTCGGCCACATTCGGCTATCGTTGGATGCGTACAAGTTCTGAGTGCACGTGTCCCCCAAAAGCCGAAGGTAGCTGAACGCAAGCTACTCACACGCATTTGTAATTTAAGTAGTGTGTGTGTGTCAGCTCGCTGTGAGTAATCTAACAACACTGAATAAATTATCGTTAATTACTTAGCAGTAAACATTTCATTTTTTTTCTTCGTCGATATGTTATTTTATTATTATATATTATTATTTGCCGATATATTGGCCGGGCCGCAAAAATATTTGTTGTGGGCCGCATGCGTCTCGCGGGCCGCGAGTTTGACATCCTTGGTGTAGATGTTTTCAGGGAACTGTTTTACTCCTGAAGAAGAGGAACTTATGTCTGGTTCCCTCTAAATCGATAGGTATTAAAAATCTACATCAGCCTTTTTTTTAAAATGATTGCCTAAAATCGAAGTCAAAATGCTTGGCTGCATAATCCCTAAGTGGCGGCATTTCTCTCCGACTTGGCGAGTTTTATAAAACATTTTAAACTTATTTGGCAACTTTATCTTTTATTTGTCGACTTTACTCCAGTTTCAAAAATATTCTATATTATTTTGATCATATTAACCAAATTGTTGATCATAATAAATGATCTATTTTTTATATTTTGGCACACAAAAGGGCCGGACTTATTCAGTTCGATAACACTATTCGAATAACATTAATCGTTATGACATTAAGCGACGCCTACTGTAATCCTATGTCTAAGGAATTTAGTTAGTTTTTATTTATATTTTTAAATAAATTACTAATGACATAAATGACATAAATTAATATATTTGCAGCTTTCTTAAAATTGCTAAAATATGTTTATAACATTCTATCCCATGCTGATAGAATATATTTTTCTTTTAATTTTAAAACTGTGCAAGCAATTCTTGTATTTTTAGGAAGATAAAATTATGAATGATATTAGATCAGATATCGGTTTTTGAAAATGAACATTTTAAGCCCTGTGAACTCCAAATATCAAAGGATATCTTTTCAGTCAGTGTTGGCCCCAAGCAACTAGAGAGGATGGGAATTTTTATTTGAAATTTATCTCAAATAAATAACTGTTCCAGTTAACCGATATCGCAATAAACATGAAGTTATTATATATCTTTCAAACTTATGGAAATAGATAACTCAGTTTTAACTATTTTTGCAGATTATATATTCCAAGAAAGGAGGCAGCTATGTTTTACGTCCACGGTGAAGATGGAATAAAGCCTGATGAGCCAGAAATTACACCTTTATTAGGTCCACCAGTATCAGCTCCTACCTATGAAGATACACGCCAATCATCATGGAAGAAATTTATCATAGCTGAATCTAAAGTGCCAAAAATGCAAGCTATTGCTGGAATTCTTTTAGGGTAAGAATCCTATTGAAATAGACTTCATGTGCAAGTGCTGCATAAAAGATAATTTTAAAACTCAGTGCTTCATGTCCTACAAGTTGTACATTGTTTTTAATACATATCATAATAAGCGCAGCATGCCAAATATAGCAAGACTATTAACTATTTATGGGTTTTGTCGCTTTGTATGGTTTTATTGCCTTTATGATAGCAATGTGATGATTATCCGTTAAATAAGTGAATGCATGTTAATTATTGAGAAAGTTGATCATATATTATTAACTAATCAAAGGATCAGTTAGAATCAGTTCCTCAAAATGCTCTATTATTTTCTACTTATAGCTTTCTTTTATTTGGAATGATACTGATGCTCGTCGCAGAAGCAATACGTGAGTCTCGTGATACAGATCCTTTTATGGTCGAGCATGGTACGTCTCCTGTCCCCTTTGAAGGTATTAAGAGCACTATTTTGATAAGTAAAATTGCTTCTATTCAGTTTAAAAATAATATTTGATTTGTTTAAAAGAGTGAATGTTTTTTATCGGAAGCGTCCGTTTTTTAATGAATTTTAACACTAAAATAAAGTGTAGCAGGGAAGAGTAAGCTTGGATGTCAACGAAATGAAAACAGAAGTGCGAAGTATCCAAGCTGAAAACTCATTTCAGAATGACCTAATTTTGACTCAGCTTTATCTGAATTTTGATTCAGCTTTATCTGAATTTTGATTCAGCTTTATCGCTTGGTTACTTTTAAATTCTACTCCCCAAATTTGAAATTATTATTGGTTAGAAAGCTATGTAAGTACCAACGATAGCATTAAGTTATGTAAGTGTAATGGAAAAAAGATTAAGTTCAGAATAATGCAGTTTAGAGCATTAGTTAGTTTATTAAAAGTTAGTATTTTTAGATTGGAAAGGGGGAATAATCAAATTTAAAGGCAGAGTCAAGGCACTATTGTAAATTAAAGTTAGAGATTTTATTTGCATATTTTGTTTTTAATCTTACATGTAAAAATTATTTTCTCACCTTTTTTATGAAGCCAAGTAGAGAAAATTTTCCCTTTTGCATTCAATTTGATCATCCTGTTATTTATTTTTGAAAGATCTGAATAACTGCGCATTTATTTATTAGCACAAACGTGGCTATTAGTCCGAAATGAGATTTTGTGTTGGTTCATTATAAATGGCATATCACTTTTTAAACTGTCGCCACCAAATGTTATCGTCTTTGTCATTTTTAAAGAAAGTTCTTCTCACTGTGAAAAAACGGTGGTACCTAGAATCATCAAATTTTGAATAACGTCGTCCTCCACCAGAACATGTGCACCTAGATGCCCGAATTTCGAATTTGTTTTATTATTATTTTTTTCATATTTTGAAAAACTTCAATAAATTTTTAATTAACAGACACAACGATTCGAAAGCGAGTGTTATCCACACTGTTTGAAATAAATATTTTTATTCCCAGCTAGCGAGACTGTTGCCATTCGGAAAAATATAAAATATTGTTGTGCTCTACGGGTTCGTGGATTTGGGGTGATTGATGATGAGTGTAACGCGTCTTTAGAATTGTCTTGTGTAATACCGTCGAATAAATTGTGCTTTGATTCTTCATCAAATGTTGTCATCAATCACTCCAAATCCATGAACCCATAGAACGCAACAAATGATGCCAGAAATGGGATGTCGCTTGATCGGAAAGTGATCCCCCATATCAATTCGATGTTGCATTAGTTTTATGCGGCCAACATTTCTGTATGTTCTAGAAAATAGATCTCCAAATTCTCTAATTGTTTTCTCTGCCGCATGTCTTTGTTCGTTGATTAAGTTCGCACTCTAAAGAAGTTCTTCCATTAATATCCCAGTTGCCGCAGTCAGGTGGGATATTAATGGAATTGCAGGTGGGGCTTTGTAAACGCAGGTAACTGGAGTGCGTGTTGCTAGCACTTCACACTTCTTTATGGCTCTTGGTCTGTGGCCACTCTCATTCGCCACTCTCATTGGGGCGAAGTCTCTCGAAAGGTCTACTAAGGCCGAGGCAACTAATACATATCTTGGACTATTTTTAGGGTATTCAATTATTCCAAATTTGAAGCTATTGTATACTATGGAGCCAGTTATTGTTAATTCTGTCAGCGGAGGGATGGTGACATCTGTTTTTGTTGTTACTTTTTGAGCTGAAGGAATGCTGCTTTTGCTTCCAAACACAGTTATATCTTCCTTTGCAGAGTGCATCTTGTTATATTTAAAGTCCAGTGTAAAGCCATACTTCCGCAAAAAGTCTAGTCCGAATTTGTCCGCGATGTTAACGACGAAAGTCAAGTGCTCGTAGTCCTCACTTCCGAAGGTAATGGTGATGTTAATTTTACTTTCAATCGGGATCTTATTACCTGTCACTGTCCGTAAAGTCACACAAGGTAGCAGTCAATCATAACGTTTCGTTCAATTCTAGTGCTATATATGTTCTGACGATGGTTACATTTGCTCTCGTATTGATGATCATCTTACAAGGATGCTTATTCGCCTATCCTTCGAGGAACAGTTCGTTATCTTCTCTCATTGAGGAGATCTGGGGAACTTTCAAAGGGGCTGCATCTCTGCCTGGCAACATCCGCAATTTAGTTTTCCTGGTTTGGTTTCACAGTTCCTACGGAGATGTCCTTCCAGTCCGCAATTCCAGCACTTAATTATTTTCTTTCCTATGTTGCTTTTAGGCCTTTTTAACGCCTCCCATATCTATTTTATTCCATTTATCAAATTAACGACGTCAAAATTTGGTTCTATTCCATCGGTTCTAATAGGATGGCAATTTTCGAGTCGCGTGTTGAGCCGACTCATACTTCATGGCGTGAGGCAGATTTTATGTGTTTCAGATCCGCCAATCTAAGAACCTTCTGAATTTCCGCATCCTTGATTGAATTGACGAAATGCATCAGGGCCAGATTTTCGCGGACAGTCCGGATATGTTTGATGCGCCAACCTCTCAATGTCAGTCGCCAGTTCTTGAAGGCTTTCCATGATATTCTGCTGACGAGTTTTTAATTGCAAGCAGCTACAGTCTATGAGTTTTACCCGAATTTCAGTTCCAGGGCATTCGAGGAGTAGAAGTTTGAAATCTAGTTCTCTGATAGGACTTCTAAGATATCTGCAGAATCACCTCGGAGTGATGCACACAACTGCGAAGTCTTCATATGGGAGTCCCACTTGTTAGTTTCCGCCACGATCAAAAACTGGGTCTTATATACACTCCATGAAGATTTTCCATCACATGTGCTAGGTTTTATTACCGTATGGGATGAGATGGGGAGAACCTTAAAATCTTCAGATTTGTTCTTGGATTCAGTTCGGTTTTCTTCCAAAACATCTACTTCTTTCCTGAACTTTCTCAATTTTTCCTCCGCATCTGCTATTTTGGGTTCAGTTTCCTCTCTGACCTCCACGATGCCGCATTTAATCTTGTTTTTCTCCCCTTCCATCTTGATCAACCTTCATTTCAACCTGTCTGCCTTTCACCTCTTCTTGTCCAGGTTTCATCTCGGTTATCAAGTCCATCAAAGCCTTCACTTCCTCAGTCATGGCTTTCTCCTGCAGGCGGGTTACTGTCATTCACTCAACCCCACTCCTGACACCAGTTTTTGCGTTCTACGGGTTCGTGGGTTTGGAATGATTGATTACAACATTTGATGAAGAATCAAAACAATGTTTCTTCATCTGTATTACACAGGGCAGCTTCATAGACACGTTACAGTCGTCAAAAAACTACGATAAACACGCTGAAACAATCAGCAACACAGCCTTCAGCTATCAGGCTATAACGCTGAAGACAGCTTCATGGCAAAGCACTAAAGTACAGCTCCCGAATCAGTCGATCGCTCTCAAGCTAATCTCTGAACTCAAAACACTACTACTGAACCCAATACATTCAAGATACTCTTCATGAAAAACTGCTACTCCGCGTACTGTCTTGCAGGGTATTTACAACTTTTGATCTGCCTTCAAGAACATTCGTGGGAAAACCGGTAAGAATTCGTTCTAGAATGTTCTTGCTTCCTCTATGGCATATCACCAATTGTATCTCCAAATCGACGATTTCGGACTAAATCTGGCAAACTTGCATTTTCTGCCATTTTCTGGCAACCTTAAACCCGCTTTGTGGGGAAGCTATCTTACCACAGCTGGACATTTCGTAATAATATTCATCTTTCAGTTTTAATTAACAAACTCTGCTATATGAAAGCAATGTGTTGCCAAGGCCAGAAATAAAATGCTTTAATCTTCCACGCGTGAGGCTTTAGATACTTTCAAATTTAATCTGAAACTTTATTTAGTAATAAACTAAATGATTTGAAAGTAATTAGCACAGTTCTAAAGAATATCTTTGTCTGATATTTTAATGTGAATGATTTAAAAAAACATTTATTAAAAATCAAGAGACATCTAGTTAGAAATATTCACTATTTTTATGAAATTAAACTAGCTGGGTTCATTAAATCATTATATACTTTTTCTTTTTTGTGATAACTATTTTAGGCTGTTGGCCGCAAGAGCTTCTAGTTTATAAAGAAATAATAATACAACTAATATAAAAATATGTATGCCTTTAAAACTCTCTTGGGAATTAATGAAGATGTGCTATTTTTAAATATTTTATAACTTTGCTGTTGAACTGAATTTTATGCGACCTAAGTGCAAAGAACGTGATATTTAATAAATAAAGTTAACATATAAAATGTTAGCAATAAAAAATAACAAAAAAATATTTTTAGCCATCTTATTAAGAAAACTTAATATTGATGAGTTAAACTGAGAAAAGACTAATAAATAAATAAATAAATAAAAATGTATGCCAACGCTTGACACTGCATCGGGAATTTTAAACATGTGCTGCTATGTAGCTTTTAAAAAAATTTGTGATTTGTTATTAAATTGTATGCTGAGTAAGTGCGAAGTTAGACTCTTGCCAACGACAGACGCAGACTTTTACTCCTTGTCACGATAAAATCCGTGAGCGTCTTCTTCTGATTATCTAAGTAAGACCAGTCACAACAACAACAATACAGAATACAAATAAATATTTCAAGCGGAGTTTTTACTATTTTAGATAAAATGGTTTTGACAACGACTCTCGCATCTTTGTTTACTGTCAACCAGCTCTGCTGGTTAATAATCCGGCGTTCATCATTTGCTAGCTGAAGTTAAATTGCACAATTAAAGCTCAGCCAGCATAATTAAGCCAAATTTGTGTGGTTTTAGACTACAATCTTATTTTAAATTGTAACTTTATGTTATTTTAATACCTGCAAGTGGCAGAGTTTTGGCTGTGCGTACAAGTTATGCCTTCTGTTCAGTTCAAGCTTAAATAAAAATGCTTATTTAAAAAAAGGAACGTTTTTTATTTAAGCTTGACTTGAACAGAAAGCACAACATTTTTAAAGCATTTAACTTTTTATTTAAAGTTAAAGCTGATATTTGTAACAGTTACTAAAACTTACTTTGTATAAAAATTTCAAATTTCATTTTTAAGTTATTTGTTTTGAAAAATACTGCACTTAAGGTAACTCAACTTCCTCCATTACTATGCAACTTGAAGATTATTGTATAGAAATTACATTTATTATTTTTCGCTTTTTTTATAGAAAATAGTTACTCGAGAATAACTGTAATAGATGAAAAGAAAGCAACTAAATTACATCCTAGGGTATGGTCCTAGGGTATGGAAATTCAATCAAAGTCCCTCAAACCCTATTAAACTGAGCAGTGGCTTTATCTGAAATTTATGACAAAGTCTTTAAGAAAGTTATTAATAATTTTTTTATTTAATTTGAAATTAAATAGCAAGCATCACATGTGCTTCTAATCAAAATGACACATCTTGAGGGTATTTAAAATAACATATGAAGTTTCAAATTCATGGTAACGTACCCAGTGACTACACAAAATGATATATTTAAAGCTGGGTCAATAGTTTAATGATGTGTTTTAACGACGTATAGCGAAATGGCTGAGTGAGAGATTTTTCACTGCTGGAGCTGGGCTACATAACGTAAATTGAAGGCTACACTGCTAAAAGCTCTGACGCTGAAACGTTCAGTATCCTTGCTTTAAATACTTTACCAACTAATTTGGATCTTGGTCAGGACTGTGTAAAAGGACAAGTAAAGGTTTAAATCATAATAATTGGTTAATTAACATAAAATACTTTACAAAATAAATAATTTCTTTTCCAATTAAAAATATCTATATAACATTAAAATATTTTTTGACTGGAACTTTTGAAAAACTGGCTGAATGTGCTAAACGTTAAACCTAAACGCATATGGGAAGGAACAATTTAACAAATTATATTTTTTAAATGGCAACGGTAAAGAGTTCAGATGTCCGATAACATTATTAAGTCATCATTCACAGCTTCACTTAGAGAGATATTTATTTATAAAGAATAAGAGGAATATGAAAGCGAGAAATTGCTGGATAAAAATCGTATCCCACTCAAACGAGGACGTTCGAAAATCCGGCCTGAAATACTCACCTTTACGCCACAAAAATATAAAGCAGAAATACTATAATTACTTACATGCTGCAGTATTATGATCATAGCTTAAAAAAAAATCCGTATTCACTATTAATCTTAAAATATGATTTGAATATTTTTCAAATACCGTCACTGTAAATGCTATCTTTTTTTACTTTCATGCGTTTTCAATGGTTCTAACATTTAATATAATAATCTACCTGTTTTTATTGCCTGCCCATGTGGTTATATATATATATATATATATATATGTGTGTGTGTGTTGGCGTAAAAGGCCGAAACTTGGAGAATGTCAACATTCTCGAATGAATGTCAACATACATATAGTCGCTTCATGTCCGAAATATTTCCTAAACATCCTTATTTCTCATTTACACCGAAAAATGTCCGCATTCAGCATGAACTAATGGTAAATATTGAATAAAAATAGATTAAGTTTTTAAAATATCTTTATTAATAAAACACATTATGATATATGTCAGAATATTGGAGAAAGCCTTAGTAACACACATGTAAATAAGCTGTTGAACTTAAAACGAAGGAGGCATTTTAAATGAGATTAGAAGATAGCACCAGTAATTAACTTACTTAATTATGCGATTGATGTTATACAATCGTATTTATTGCAGCAACTTAATCTGTTATAACACTTTGAATTGCACAAGAAACAACTGCATTTAGTCGTGAAACAGTTTTCTTCTTAGCGTTTCGTATCTGCCTCCACCACAGTAACTCTGATTACCAAATATTCGATCTTTCACCAACGTATTTGATATGTGCTGACATTCATTGGAGGGGTTGATTTTATACAATTTCGGTCTTTTATGGTAACATTAGTATATATATATATATATAATTACAAAACTATTCTTTTGAAACAAAACACAACATGCTTAGTATGTCCGTGCATTAAGCTGCAGAAAAAATTTATAAAGACATAAAAAAAAGAATTTAGAACTATATGTATATATATATATATATATATATATACAGTGATTCAGAACTAAGGAAACAAATTTCTAGGGTAGGGTATACCGAGTCGACTTGGATTCTCATAACAATGCAGGATCAGAAATGCAAACCTAACAAAATAGGGATCTTTTAGACGTTGTCGCAGGAAAACTGTTGGCAACCACTCGAAAAGGTATTAGGATGAAATTATGATGAAATCGTGATTGCAAACTGATATTTAAAGACCATAAGCTTGAAATCAATCATGACCTTCCTGATAATGAAGTTGCCCGAAGTTTCGTAACATCTCGGACGTTTAGGGACGCCGGCATCAGTCGAACATTCACATAAGCCATGCAAATGCGTCACTTAAACGCCCAGTGTCTTTCAAAACGTCTGAGTTTCCATGCCTTAACCACGTTACGAAATATCGGAAACCTTCATCAGGAGCGCCAGAACTTATTTTTATGGCCTTTAAATGTCAATTTCAAATCAGGATGCATTTATATGTTTTATTCTAACATCTCTGAGGGCAGTTATCGATAGTTTTCCTTCGACAGCTCCTAATATCCCTCCTATCTGGTTAGGATTGCATTTCCGACTATGAGTTACTATGGTATTCCGAGTCTTTTGGTGTAGCCTACACTTCCTAAAAGTTTGTACCGCTAGCTTATATAGTATATATATATATATATATATATATATATATATATTAAGCTACATTAAATACTACTGCACTATATAGAAGATGATGCAATAAATATTTGCCAAATTTGTGTTTGTGTGTGTGCTTTTAAAATGACTCGTAGTACATGTAATTTTTGACAGGAATAATAGATTTCCAAAGCAAAGATTTTCTAGATGCTTGGATGGAAGGAGAAGGTCTAGTAGCGTACAGAAAAAGATTAGAACTGATGCTTTTCGAAAATGGTAAGTTAAATCACACCATAAATTTTCTGAAATACTATTACTTCAATGCAGGACATTCTGTTCTTAGATAAGCGTATTTGGATTATCTAAGCATTGTCAGTCTCTCTCCCCTCCTCAAAAGTTATAGGCATTTGAAGAAGTTAGAAAAAACTTATGATTTTTTAAAGAAAAATTCATTTCTTTACTTCGAGATTTTCACTGTTAAAATTTAAAAAGGAATTAAAACTTTAACATCAATTCATATTAGAGGGGGATAACTTTGTACAGTTTAATAGCAAGCAAATGAAGAACGTTACATTAATGAACAGCAGAAATACGTTAAAATTTGTCACTGACTACAGTTTTATTGGAGCTTAGTTCATCTTCATTAAAGTTTGTTGCTACATAACGAAGAAACTGTAGTGTTCATCATACAATTAGAGTGGTCCCATACTACAAAGACACTATACATTTATAAACATCTATACCTTCTCGGGATTCAAACCCGAGCCCTTCGGCATCGCAGTAAACTCCCCATCCACTATACAATCTGGGAAGCATTCCTCCTATGATATTCCTGTATTAAATAAACTTATTCAATCCAGTTATGATTTCTTCGATTCTGATATATCCAGATGTTTTGCTGAATTTTTTGCTACTAACAGTTTTTGCATCGAAAATCAAAAGTTGTCTCTAGAATTTTCTTATCATAGAAGTTGCCGAATATGATAAAATTTTGATGAAATTGGGTTGCATATAACACAGAAAAGAAAAGTTGATCTTAGTTACTCAAGCCTTTAAAATGTTCTTGTCATTTTCAGGTGTGACTCCAACTAAAGGTTCACCTTCGTATTTGTTACAGCGTTTTCAAAAGGGCAACGCGGAATTCGGCAGGCTCCAAGACTGTGCCGTTATCGTAGAACATATGAAGAGGGTTTTGGGTAAATGGTAAGTGAACCCACTTTCTATTGCATCTACATTATAGTAGGACTATAAAAGATGATTTCTAATGTTGTTTAATTACTAGTTGTTCCACTGAGACTGAAATAGATTAAACTGGAGTTTAAAGCCATCTTAGATATCTAATATCATAAAACAGTACTTTTCATCAATTAGTTTTGTTCTGCTCTAATCAGAACCGTTGTATAATTTTTCGCATCCAAATTAAAGCAATTATTAAGAAGCTAATACGTTAGTTTTCAACCACCAACAAAAGTATTCGAAATTACAAATTAATTCGATTTGGCTAAAACTAAGACTAGTTATTAAGGTGCATGCGCAGTTCGTCTACAAGATTTTTAGGAATAAGTTCGTACAGAATCAAAAGGTAAAGACATTAGTAAAAAATCAAGAAATAAATCCGTAATTAAATAATTACCTACAAAAAATTAAATAACTGCAAAATAAAATTATAGCTGCAATTCTTAAACAAGTACTATAAAGAAAAACCGCAGAAAAAAATTACATAGATTGTGAATTTTCAATAATCCGTTAAAAATAATATATATTGAAGCTCAATAAACTTTAAAAAAAAAGATAACTCTCTTAGCTCTCCCCCCGAAAAAAATAAGGACAAGAAAAAAATGAAAGAAAATAAAAAAGAAAGGAAGAAATATTGTTTCTATGTCTCTAACAATTAAATATTTTCACTTTCAGTTACAAATTTTTCATGTAAATCATAATTCTCGGTTTATTTACCCCAGACAGATTTTAAAAGTTTCGTTAACACAAGGCAACAACGATGGAGAAATATTTTCTAAATCAAAATCACTGTTTTTAAGATATGTTTTCATTTATCATAAAAAAAACCACCCTAAGAAACATTTTTTTAAAGAAAGAACGTAATTGATTTGCGCAGTGATGTTGTAAACTTTGCATCACAATTGAAATGATATGGAAAGATGTAACGCATAATATTTTCTCCTACTGAGAATTTTGTATGACAGCCTTTACTATGCTAGCCATTAATTGCATCATGAAAGAACGTTCCCAATAAATCATCAGTATTAAAAGGCCGATTTAAAATACTGATTTTTCATTCAAAAATCACGTTTAACCGCTGTTTTTGTGTTAGAGGTCTTACCATACCTCCTGTAAGAAAAAAGAACTCATACCTGCGCATCTCAGAATTTAGTCTAGGAAAAATTATATCGTAATTTCGGCTTATTGCACCACGTAATTGTTTATGCTAGTCAAGATTCAAAGATTGTTATGAAAATTCACAATAAATGGGTCAAGGAGGGTCACACAGAGCGATCTACAAGATCTCGACTACACCCATTCCTAGTACCGAAGACAATACACATATTTTCCACACTAATATTACAAATAGTTTTGGTATATCACATTCCCGAGTCAAGAAATTAGGTCTGTTGCATAACAGAAGGCATCTGTTTTTACGGTACAATGACGTCTGTAAGGCTACGGTGTAAGCAGCAAGGTAATCATCGCTTCTTTTCTTGAGGCTTGTAAAGTCACCACAATTTTTAAACAGGAAACAAGAAAAATTAGCTATGGCCTCGCCCAGATTCGAATTCTGAACCTTCCAGTTGCTACCCGGTCGGTATTCCGAGTATAACACAAAGGCATGCGGTAAGGAAGGGAAAAGTCTCTTGCATTCTTCCCCAGTTAAAAGGCGATATTTTGGAGGGTAAGCCTATTTGCCAATTCTAAGTGGTGATCACATTTTTGTCCACCACATTTTTATTCGGGCGTCAGTTGTCAAGGAATTTAGAAACAGAACTGGGGATCTTCCCGCTTGCTAGTCAGACGTGCTTCCAGTTACACCACTAAGGCATGTGACAAGCATTAAGGAGCTAAGGTTGTTCTTAGAAACTGTAACACAGGAATCCACTCCTACAGTGGACCGTTCAACGATGTACACACAACGCATAAGTAGCATCACGTCGTTTTTTCTCGCAAATAACTCTTTGGCTTACACCATCATGATGGCCGTATCTGCGAGTGAGAGCATCGAGTAGAAAGAATGCTTACTATTTCAAGCTGCTAGCTTAAAATAGTAAACAATATTACGATTAATCTATTTGCCGACTGACAGAATAAAATAAAAATTTTAAATGCTCAAGTTAGGGTTTGAGATTTAATTAGCGTAACTAACACATAAATTGAAACTATTATGCTGACTGCGATGTCACTCAGACTCACTCCACTGCATTAAATCACTTATGCATATTATTTCGAGTAAATAATATAAATATTTATGTGTAATATACTTCATTTAGCATAGATACTAGTCTTCTGCCAGATCACTGCCATCCAGATATGCCTGTATCTTGCAATAACTCGTATCCATATAGAAGCTATAATGGAAGTTGTAACAATTTGAGACATCACGACTGGGGCATGGTTTTGACATCCTTTAGGAGATTAATGAAACCTGAGTATGCGGATGGTAAGATTATACAGAGAATTTTTATTTTTTAAATCGATATTCAAATGAAATTATTTTTACGAATATAAATTAATTCAGTTATCTTAAACAAAAATTATTAAATACCGGCTATTTTTGTTTTCAGGTGTATCTTTGCCCCGCATGTCAGCTTCTGGAGATGAACTTCCCAATGCTCGGTACTTGAGCAACGAGCTGTACACTCATCATTCGCGCCCTAGATGCAACTGTACTGTTCTTACGCTTTATTTTGGGCTCTTCATTGATCACGATATTATCAGAATTACTAGCAAAACTGGTGAGTTATGCCAAAATATATTTTTCATTGTTTGCTTTATTTGTTGCCGAAATTTCATTATAAATTAAAAAAAATTAGATTCCCTTTTAATATTTTAGGAATTGTTGTTGGTTTAAAATATAAACAAATAGCACATATTCCTAAAATATTCGCATAATAATTTTTGCATTATATAAATAAAATGCAAGAATTATATATCAAACCGCTAAAAATTCATGTAAAGGATTTCATTTCAATATGAAGATTGTAAAATAAAAATTAATTATTATCATTATGAAGACTACTACCTAACGCTTATTTATTCCTCAATTACCCTCAAATTAAACTTGAGAATTTACCTATAATATACTTCAATTTCTTACATAATGTAAGGTTTTTATGTTTCTTAACTCCTTAACATATTATTCTTATCTTTATACTGCACGTTTACTTTCATCGACTACTATCAGAATGCAAAATATTTAACATATATAAAAGTAGAGTTCTTGAAATTCAGAATGAATCAGCAACCTCTGACCTCCAAACCAATCCCGCCCTACTTTACCTAAATCAGCTTTAGCTTTTGTTAAGCGAGTTTCCTTCCTCTTGTTAAAGAACATTAACCAAAGCTTGCAGTAGAAATTTGACTTTAGAATTCCATAAAATGGTATGACTCCAAATTTACCAACAATGATTCAACTTTAGGATCAGTTGAATTCTCTAAATGGTTAACGTTGGCTTAGGACTTAACCACTTTATGACAGTGCGAATTTGTCTAGTTCCATTCCAGTGGAGGAGAATTCCCTAGGAAACAGATTCGGAAAACTTCCATTCCTCTTTCCCTTCCACCAACCACTCGAGAAACTGGTAGTACCATGCCCGAAAGATACTTTATATTTACAAGAATCCATGCCTTCTTCGAGATTTGAACCTGGACCCAAGGCTATGACAGCCGACTTCACTACTCTAATAAGCGGAAAAGTATATTATGCGTGTATATTTGCTTTCTTGGCTTCTTTATTATTTTTATGCTCTGCCCTATAAAAGCTTATAATATTTTCTTAAAACCATAGCTTAAGATATCTTTATTAATGTAGATTTCTATATGGCATCAGTTGGTCGCATTACTCTTGCTCGTGATGTTTGGATTACTTCTTTCTTTCAGCTAGGATTCGATGTAGCAAACCCTGAAGTAGGGTTAGGCCAATGGTAAAAATAAAGACTTTGGAAAATTTAGATCCCCTAAAATTAAATTTTTAAGTCACTAGGACTTTTAACTTTTGAGCTGAGTGGTCTGCTTCTTTTAAACCTCCTCTGTATACATATATATCTACATTTTCTTCTTTTTCTCCTGCGTGATATTCCAGTGTCCCTTGCGCTGAGTCTCTGGCTACTACTGTGATATGATTCTCTTTCTTTTGTGTTCTTTATGCATGGTAGAGGCCTTTCAGGGGGAAATAGTCTATTATTACAAATAATTTCATTGCATCTGAGAAGTATAAACATTTGAAGAAAAAATGTTGTAAAATAGTGTAAGTGTAATAATAACAATGATTAATTTCAGAAAACGTCGTAAGACAACAATTACATTGTATTTTGTACTGAGTGATCAACTGCTGAGATTCTCAAATATTCACAAGGCAATCCTAAGTTGACTATGCCACGTGAGGCCTAATGTTTCCTTGATGAAGCAATAAGCTGTGATCCACTAGACTTGGACGTTTTCGACTTGAGGCAAAGTTGTCCAAATCAATTGAGGCAATGCTGTGCAAACCTTAAGATGGAATCGCAATTTGATATAGCAGTAATAATTACTATTCACCTCTGAAAATGGATTAGCAGCGTAAAAAGAACGCATCATCTCACTTCTCCTCTAAAGTACATTCTTCTGGCATGGTAGCTATATTTACACTGTTATGACAGACCTTCAGTGATTGGTGGCATTGCTCCAATGACTCCGTATGATGTAAAGTCTTTGTGGCTAACTGACAACACGTTTTAAAATTAGTCATTGCTATCACTCGTAATCTTACACTTTCTAACGTATTTATTGAATACTTTTCATGTTACTCTTAAACGCTTACTTTGTAACCCTGAAAGCTTTACATAATCGTCGTCTGTAAGGTAAACAAAGGGTTCTTATACTGCATAAATGGAAATAGTTTGTTCTGTCTAATTTAAGTGCATGTTTCCTCGTTTAAATTAAAGACTTAAAAGAATTTTCGAAAATTATTGCTTCAGAACCTAGTTTATATTTTATATTTTTATTTGTTAAGTGGGGGAAATGTTAGTTATATGTTTTGATTTCTGGCAAATTATTATTTTTCAGAATAATTACCATATTTACTGGCATATAAACCTTTTCATCTACTAATTTTACCGTTTGAAACCCAGGAGAGAAAAAATACGCGTTGTGTAATACTTTTGAAGAGACGTTTTTAACGATAAATATAGAAGATTAAAAGGCATGCATAAAAATACACTAATGTTAGTGTATTAATTTCAATAATATTGGTTTTACTTATAGAAGATGCTTTCCTATTTGTGAACATATTTCACATTGTTACCATAATTCAGAAGTTCCTAAATCATATGATGAAAAAACTTACGGGGAAAATTTAACGAGGGAGAGAAATATGCGAGTAAATGTGATACTTAAAAAGAAATTTTGTTTATTTTGTGGTACTTAATTGTTTAGGTCACAATGGAGAATCTATATCATGCTGCAGTCCAGAAGTCATTGAAAACCCTAGTCTTCTGCATCCTGAGTGTATGGCCATTGGAGTACCTGAAGATGATCCATTTTATGGACCTCTTGGTGTGAAATGTCTTGACTTTGTACGATCAGCACCAGTTCCTGGGGAATGTCCGGGTAAGATCTCATTTCAATTGCTTGTGCACCTAATTTTCAAAGAACAATGACTAACACTCGAACATTTAGTGATCATTCTGAAGAAGGCTTGAACAAAACACATAAAAGCGGGGGAAAAAAAGCCAAAGTTCTTTCTTTATCTCCCGTTCTACTCGGCCGATTGACGAAATTCAACTTGCGTTTTTCATGTCTCTAAGGCGCGATTTGGTATATGTTTTAGATTTATATATAGCATTCTTCTAGTAGTATTTTGACATAAAGTCGGAATTTTTCTGAAATAACATATCATTTTTTCCCATATTTCGATTTTACGACTCAAATTATGCCAAACTTCCAAGTTTTATAAAAGTCACACGAATAGTTTTTAAAAATTAGCTCTCAAATTTTAGCTTCTCAATATTAATAGAATTTGATATATATTTATTAATATCTTTTTTATTAAACTGATCTGATTCTTCCTTTCATATTTCGAAATTTAGGTTCATTCCAAAATAAAATTCGCCCATTTTTTATGATTTATTTTTAAATCTGCATTTTTAAATAATTTTTAAAAAGTTTTCGGAAAAATTTTTTAATTATAACCTATAAAATTTTTGCCATTACTTTAAAGTAGATGTATTTCTAAGCATAAATGAAAAAATTAGAGTTTTTTATTCAAAATTTCCTAAGATATATGTGAATTTACATTGGTGCGTTTTAAAATTTTGCGAATTTATTATAAGCGATAATAATGAAAATGTGGCTTACGCATTTTGTTACAATTCTTTGAAAGTATGAACGATGACTTTTTTCCCGCTCGGAAAAGAAAAGGAAAGGAGAATAGGTTGCTATAAATTAAGAAGTTCGCTAAGCAAGTTATTTTTGGCGCAAACTGAAAAAAATGCGCCAATGTAAGTTTTTTAATTTCTCCATAAATTTCTCACCAAAAATTACAAGATTTAATATCTAGGCATAATCTGAGTCGTAAAATCGAAATATGGAAAACAATTGGTATGTTATCTCAGAAAAAGTCATATTTTGTATCAAAATACCTATGTTAGAGCAATGCTATATATAAATCTAATATATATCCTTAGTTGCGCTTTCGAGGCATGGAGAACGCAATTTGAATTTCGTCAATCGGCCCAGTAGAACTAAAGACATAGAACTTTTTTTTTTTTTTTTTTTTTTTTTTGCCCGCAGTGTACATACAACATGAGCATTATTGGAAAGACAGATTATATTAGCTCTTTTTGAAATACAATTTTGTAAATAAAAAATATATTTTAAAAGGAGATAATCTATTTCCCGTTTCATTAGTAGCTAAGCATTAATATTTTATCAACTGAATTAAAAGTGATGATTTCTATTTCTTTATTTATAATTAAACAGTTGTATCTTCAATGAATTTTAAGTAAAAAATTGTTGTACTCATCGGCAATTGGTAATATATGATTTGCGTGGCGATGGCAAGGGAAGGAAGTATTTTCTTTAAACGTTTATCTTTTGTAAATTTGTTTGTGTCGTTAATTGTTGTAAATTAATTATCAAGAAAACCATCAACCGAAAATGTATTAAAATTAAAAAACAAATTGCATTGTTGTGTATTAATGTTTTGCCGGTTTTCAAGTAAGCTAAATTGCATTACAAAGTCCTAGCATGTGTATGTGTCAAGATGATATGTGTAATCTCATCCTAGTGTAGCACAAGTGGCTTCGTTGTAATTATGAGAAATTGCCTATACTTAAGTTACGCGACAAATCGAGAGGCCAAAATTTAGCAAGACGAAGGTGGATCGAGGGCCGACGAATACAGACCAGTAGAATTATTACTCTAGAAACTTACAAAATACCTGGGATTACAACTACTAAAAGCTGGGTTAGGTAGGTGACTTTCATTTCCTTTTCTGAGAGGAAAATAGATGTTAGTATTCCTTCTCTCTCTCTTACTGTTAACAAATTAGCATTTGGGTCTTCTTCGTTATGAGCATGATGACTTTGCTAGCCTATAGTTTGCACTATGAATATTTGTATTTTGTATTTATAGTTCACACTGTAAATATGGTTACACACAACTTTAGATTTTCCCAGATGAGAACTTTCTGAAAATTTTCCCATTTCAGCCTCACGCTGTGGGAAAGATTCCCATCTCACCTTTTTTTTTTTTTTTTTTTTTTTCAAGGTTTATGGTAAATCGAAAACGCGATGGGATGTTACTGTTATGTGACTATGAAGGATGACACAATGACTCTCCATCTTTTAAATTTCGTATTCAGGCACTGTTTAAATACATTAATGTTCCCATCGTTAGTACGTAATACAGTAAACTTTAAAATATTTTTATGGTATTGGCTATCAATTCGTCCAGTAACATTTGTGAATACCAGGTCTTCTCTGAAACGTTCCCCACCAACTATAGCGAAGCAAGGGAAACGAAAAAGACTGTTAATTTCCTCGTATTAGAATGGCGCCGACATGGATGACGCAGTTTCGGTTTTAAATATCCTTAATAAATTCAACGACTCTTGGTGTATTTAAATCAAACTGAAGACATTTAATGATATAACATTCACACGTAAACATTTAGTAATAATTCAGGAGTACAGATAAGCATAAAATAGGAATTACAACCGTTACAAGCCAGCTACGCTTTTAGCGACCGAATTCTACGAACGACAAATCTCAAAAGCGTGTTGCCAACGCAGGACAACGAAAAGGTAGAAATTAATTCGACAGGCGTGGAAGTGAACAGACAGAAAGGGCGAAATAGCACAGATTTTAATGCTTTGTCCCCATGCACTGCAGAAGGCCAAAAAAAGCCTGAAGTGGCATGATTTTTAACCTCCAAAAAGCCTGTAGTGTAAAAGGCTGAAATGAGACATCACGACAAATATTTTTAGTAGTACTGATCGTAGCCTGTCTGCTCACTTGTCATAGGATGTAGCTGAGATTACATAGACGACAATTCATATAACCAATTTTACAGTTCTAGGCTTGGTAAATGAAATTAATCAACTCTAGATTCTGACTTTTGCTATTTTCCACCGTCCTTATCAGTTGAGAAACCTATCTTTTGTTAATTAAATATTTCTTAAAAAAAAAAAAAAAAAAATGCGGTATTTAACATATATGTGTCAGTGATATAGACAGCACAGAGCAGTAAGAGTTCTAATCATCCTTATATTAGCAGTCCGTAATTAGTAAACTTTTTGGATTTAATTACATATAAAATTATAGATAAATAGTTGATATTTCTTTAAAGATTTCTTTTACTAGTTGGATTGTATGTACTTTTGGATGCAAATATAATTGGTATAGAAACTTGTATTTTCCTTTCTTATAGGAGAACGAGAACAGATGAATTTAGTTACTTCATTCCTGGATGCATCTGGTGTTTACGGCTCTTTCGATGATAAGAATAAAGTTCTCCGATCTTTCGAAAATGGTAAAATTGTAAAGTTAATTAATAATTTACAGTTTGATTAACCGTTTTTTAATTCGCTATCTTCATATCAAACATTTGAAATAGATGCAAATTAACAAGATAATATTTAAATGGTACACGAAATAATAAGGTATGTAGTAATTGGCAGGTACACTCCCCCCCCCACACACAGTGTAATCTCTGCTACAAGTAGCAGTCAGCTTCCTTACGCTGAAAACAGTAGATTTGCTTGAAAATTTAAAAAGTTAGTAAATTAAATTAAATAGTTTCGACCATTTAGTATTATAATAAGAATATGCGAGATCTGTAGAAGGAAAACGGGAAGATATATTTATATATTTCAGAGGGAAGATAACTATCAATACGTTTTAATATAATAGTTATGTGTTTATATAATAAATTAAAATATTTATAAATGTTTTAATATAGTAGTGTAGAGACATTAGAGTTTCTTTAAAACAAGGAGAGATGAAAAAAGAGCAGTGCGGTCTCCGGTACTCGAACCACGGACCTCTCGAATACGCGTCGAGCGTGCTGACCACTACACCACGAAGGCATGCTAAAAAGGCGGGAGAAATACCTTATATACTCCCCCTTTTAAAGGGCGACTAGGAATCAGGGGACCCAATCGCGATATCCTGGTGGTGGAGAATCATCATCCACCAACCTTTTGGTTCGGGCGCCACTGTAGAGACATTAGGTTTTTTGAAGTAGGAGTAGAGGAAAAATGAGCAATGCCCTCGCCGGAAATCGAACCACGGGCCTCTCGAATACGCATTGAGCGTGCTGACCACTACACCATGAATGCATGGTGCAGTGGGGATGTAGTCTAAGAAGGCGGAAGAAATACCTTATAGTTATAGTTTGGTCCAGCAAGAAACAGAGGAACTTGGTTTTTTAACTTATGTTTGACTTTGTGCCACCTAAGAGCATAATTACCAATAAAAATTTTAGTTTCTTTCTTTCCTTTTCTTTCTTTTGCAAAAATTGAGGGGTTATTTTGCATTTGTACTGGCATGTTTAGAATAATCACGAAAATTAGTCAATAACCCTTAAGGCAGAGATGCTTAGTTAAGTGATTAAAAGCCTGAGGTTGCTGTTAGTTTTTACTTGAATCCTACAACATTATCTGACAGAGTGTAATTTCTTATTGTAAACATTTAAATCAAACTCAGTTTGCTGCTTTGAATGTTTTATTTCTACCTATGATCAAACTGTTTGTCTGAACAATTTGCTCAAAACCTGGAACTTTAATATTATTGCTTGCGTACGGATTCGTAATTAATTGAATTAGATTGAATGCACACAGGTCCGATGATAGGTTAATAAAATTTATTTTATCAGCAGAAACACTTCAGAGTTCTAGAATTTTCCACAGAAATACTCGTACATTTGTTTAAAGTATCACAAAGTACAACCAGTAGTTATCCTTCAAACTACTAAGAACGTTAAACACAACCCAATGCAAAGCGCATTTAAAGAGAAAGCTAATCTGATCTCACGTTGAACTAACAACTCGCAAAAATAACAACAATAGCTAATTAAAAAACTTAGAGCATATGCTCTCTCTCGCCGGCGTTATATAGTTTTCAGCCAGGCGCCGAGATATTTCTAGTACCTTCTGCTTCTCGAAATTATTGGAAAGCAATATGAGGGTCGAATTGCGTTTATAGAAAATATAGCGATCAATTACACTTATTCAATTAAAATATTTATTATGGTGATACAGAGACCGGACCAAAATGTTGCCATATGTTCGCCAAATTTTGTGAATTTTGGCGATTTCTTGCAGATCTTGCGACAAAATAAGTCGCCAAAACCGCTCTCAGCTTGATGATATCTTGCCAAATTATCGAGATACCCATTTACTCAGTGTTAAATGGACTTGCGCCTGTTTTCTTACTTTTCCAGCATAGCTTTTCTATATAATTTGTTTCGCGTTACATTACACAGAAAAATACAATAATTTCACATATAACTGCACTAAAATCATCTATCTGTGTACAAAATTTGTAACATCTAAAAAACCGAATTGGTTACGGTTGTTAAAATAAGTAAAATATTTTATATATTTCTTTATTTTATATTATATACATACACGTATGTGCTAATATATAGCTTGTATAAACTCGAATCTAGAACTTATCACTGTGTTTAATGTGTAAACTCTAATTCAAGCATATATTGCTTCAGTCTAAAACGTATATTTTTAAAGATTTTATTAAGTATTATACTACATTTATACATTTTATTTATAAGGTTCCAACATAGAATTTACAGTTAAATGTGTGGAACCTTGAGAACTGGTAAGCGAATAATCGCTTTAGTTCTGGAGACAGACACGTAAACTTGAGAAAGGTTAATTACCCTTTATTGCTCAAAATAAAGTTTTACAGATGGCCCTTTCTTAGGACGTACAGAACAGCCTCCACTTGGGTTTGAACTCAAGAATATTAAGAAATAAAACTTAACTAATACTTAACTAAAACGATATAGCCAAAGCTATCAAAATTTTACAGGAGTTGGCCCCTTAAATGCTAACTAAACGAAGCTATTAAGGGCCTGAAATACGGCCGAGCGTAGTAATAGCTTAGAGAGAGTGTAGCCGAAAGGCGAAAGAGCGCTAGTCAGAATCTCTGGCTATCTAACGAAGTCAATGGAACTTCGACTTGAAGTACTGCTCTTCCTTTATTTGCATTTAACCGCGATTCTAAAAACGCACTCTGTCAGGAAATTTGTAAGCTGAAATTAGAAGCCACAGGAAAGTAGCTTTAACTAAAAAGATAACTATTAACAACTTAGGATAAAACTTACATATTATGTATTATACTACGATCTTTAATAAAAGTGCGATATATTTATTAAAAACTAAATGATTATTAATACTTACTCTGTGAAATAATTAGATTATAATAATCATTTTATTTAGACAGAACGAGGAACATAATATCCTCTGTTGAGCTACAATAACCCCAAGTCGTAATGATGTAAATAAACAACAGAGAACAGGAGAACAATAAGCATACGAGACATTAGGACTTTACCATACGGCGATACAGGTATTGTCCTGTGATGCTACTGATCCAGTGAAGCATCCTACAGAAGCTCCGCTCAAACTTTCCAAAGCATTTTCCTGCAGTTATTATTTAGAAGAATTTGTCTTTTTCGTAACAATTAATGCTCACAAATATCTTGCCCTTCTTCCGAACGGTATTTTACAATACTCTTGATTTTGCGATGAAATTTTGGATTATTTATTATATGTCTTCAACACTCGAGTTCGTTTGTAGTTGGCCTAAGGCTGTGATGTGCTTGTGTTATTGGGCATGAGAAGAGGTAGTATACTACAGATCCTCTTTAGCTGCAAATTCAGTTGTCTAAGGAAGAGTTCTCTTCTATTAATAAATGGGGAAGGGTCAAATTAATAGAATAGTCAAATTTAAATTAATCTTTAAACCGTAGTCAGAGACTAAACAATTAAATATTCAACTAGAAGCTGGCTCAGTAATTTTACCGGCGCATCAGATTTAAAGTGTCGGAAGCAACAGGCCGTAAAGCCGAATAATTACAGCTGTTAGAACTGGCAGGAACTAACCACGTAGCGAGCACGTGATGTCAGAAAAAATGTCTGATTCAAAATCTAGAAACTTCAGCTTAAATACTCACGCCTAATTTGCATTTTAATGAGGAATACTGAAAGAAGAAGTCATAGTAAAGACTGAAATCATAATATCTGGCTAATTAACATATGATACCCTACAGCGCGTAAAGTTTTTTTTCCCGCATATTTCAGTGAAATATATCAAACAAGAATCCAGAGCAATTAATATATACATACACCCTTTTCTAGGACTTCTTAAAGTTTGTTGGATCAACGACACCATGATGTTACCACCAGCGCATCACATAAGCTACGAATGCGGATTTCCCTCAAAAGACCTTTATTGCTTCAGAGCTGGTAATATATATTCTTATAATTCATAATTTTTATCAAAGTACTTTTAAATTTAAAAAAAAAACAGCTCTTTTGGGCTAAATTACTTGTTTGAAAAATAATGCAAAATATTTTACTGCATTAAATTTAGTTTTAATAGAATATTAATTATCCGGACATAACGGGAATTCTATTTATCTACAGGGGTTGGACAAAAATATGGAAACACCTTTAAAAAAACATGTTCCTTTGCTTAATATGGTGTAGGAAACCTGTTGGCATCCAAAACAGCTTGCAGTCTTCTCGGAATGGATAAATACAGTTCTTGTATGTTTGCCAAGGTAATATTATACCATTCATTCTTCCTGGCAAGTTCGATAACGATGTTGGCGGTGGATAACGATAACGCACTTTCCGTTCCAATGTAGACCACAAAGGTTCGATAATATTCAGGTCTGGTGACTGTGGTGGCCAGGGAAGATGGGACAACTCATCCTCGTGCTCAGAAAACCAGTCCTGGACAATGTGAGCTGTGTGAACAGGGGCTTTGTCGTCTTGGAAGACACCATCACCATCGGGGAACAAAGTTTGTACCATGGGATGAACTTGATCGGTCAAAATGTTCACATAAGTCTTGGCAGTCATGTGCCCTGACACAGTTATCATGGGGCTGGGGCCAGCAGAGAACCACGATATGGCTGCCCAAACCATAACAGAACCCCCGCCATGTTTCACTCTTGGCAACAAGCAGTCTGTATTATAGGCTTGAGATGGCGTTCTCCAGACGTAAACTCGGCCAGAAGTGGGGGAAACAATGTGAAAGAAGACTCGTCAGACCATATTACTCGCTTCCACTGCTCTATAGTCCAGGCTTTATGACTTAAACACCACCTTTTCCTGTTACGGGCATTAGCATCACTGATGAGTGGCTTCTCAATTGCAGCACGGCCAGCAATTCCCTGTTTATGAAGCTCCCTTCTAATTGTTTTGGTACTCACAGGGTTCGGTAAACACAACATTCATTTCAGCAGTAACTTTTGCAGCTGTGGTCTTCTTATTTTTCGTCACAATTGCCCTTAATGATCGTCTGTCACGATCACTCAGGACACACTTTCGTCCGCGCTGTGATTTAGCAGATGATGTTTTTCCGCTTTTCAAAATATGCGGAATAAATCTTCGATACAGTACCTCTTGAAACACTAAACCCGGCTACCTTGCTTACGGAAGCACCTACCATACGTGCTCCAACAATTTGCCCACGTTCGAAGTCTGTTAACTCTGACATAATGCAATGACAAACCTCACATAACAGTACTCCGACAACAACTGAACTGTTTACCACATTTACGAAGTTGTATAGGTGGAGTGAGTAGTCAAAAACGCCAGCGGCACCTACATATTTCATTAAAATCAATCTTTCTTTTCAAACATGCATTTCACAAGGTGTTTCCATATTTTTGTCCATCCACTGTATACGTGTGCTTTGTCCAGTAGGTTAACTAAATTTAAGCCTATTTCTGTATTATCGGTATGCTTTAATTTACATTGATTTAAATTACCTTAAAAGATAAATAGTGCATTATATATTTCAAAAACTATTGGTATGACATGTAGATGGCGATACACGGTTGCCATAAGCGTTAATGAAAACAATGCTTTTACACCGTGGTCATTGCTTACTCATAACAAGTGTATCCTTTTTTAAATTATGTATTATATTTTCAATTTTATTATTTTTCTTCGATAAAAAATAATATCAATTAAATTTAAATTGAAGATATATGTGCTATATACTGCTGGGATAAGGATCGACAACAATGTCACTCATAAAAATCACAAAATGAAAGAAGCAAAGTTTGGAAAATTGAAATAAGCGCGGGATATAGTAAGAAATTTCATTTCATTGTCTGTTCATCAAGTAAAAGCCCTGATAAAAGATTTAAAGGATTTGATGCGTATGGACGGATGTTGTACCAAGTAAAGGTTTATGGAAAAGACTTAATTGGCGATCTCGGAAATTTCGGTGATTTGCCAATATCACTTAAATAATTTTATGCGTGGTCAAAGAAGGGCGAAAACTAACATGTTTCCAGGGTGTTCAACATCGTCCACAGCGTTATTTCATGGCTATGGAAAGCATAAAAACAACAGGAAAATGTAGCTAGCGTCAAGGGAGAGGTTCTGCTAGGTGTAAGACATCTTCAGGAGACTACATTGCTTTATCGACAGAAAGGGAAACAGGCGCATCACAGCTCAGCAAATGGCGAATGAATTTTTTGCTGCCACAGGACTATGGATCTCCCGAAAAGCCAGAAGTTTTGAAGAATGAGGACTACACGCCCGCAGACCTGTTGTGTGTCCCAAATGCACCTTACCGTCAGCTTGCAATGGTGTCGCAAGCATCGTGATTGGACTGAGCAGAAGTGGGCTAGTGTACTATTCTTCGATGGGAGCAAGTTCAGTTTGTCACCGGATTGTAGACGACAGCTGATCTGTCTTGGTATTACTTATCGTCTATAAAATATCCGGGAAAGCGACCGATATATGAAATGCAATATCATGGATCCGGCCGAAATCATGATCAATTTGCCGCACGCCCGTACGTGTGGTTGCGACTGGGACTATGGCCGGCCAACAATGCTTTTTATGTTCACCTTTTCCGTAGTGCTTTCGATGGTAATTTTTTTTGTCCATAGACTACAACGTACCGTGTCATCGAACACTCGCTGTTCAGGATTGTCTAGAAAGCGAAAATATTCAATGCTTCATATGACCAGCGTCTTCTCCTGATTTAACCTCTATTGAAAATCTTTGGAACGCACTAGAGAAACGAATTGTTAATCGAAAATATCCTCTAATGAACAAGAACACTATTGTCCATGCACTAACAGGTGAATGGGATCAGTTGTTTCAACAGCTGCTGGAATAATATTGTGCAAACCAGATACGACGTGTGGAAAGCTCCATCCTACTTCACGGTGGATACAACCCCTACTAATAGTTTTCAGGTTCCTGCTGTCATTCATATGCACTTTTCCATTTTCTCGTACAAAGCATCAAAAAAGCAATTTTTTATTTTTGGATGTTTCAAAACCTTCTCTATTTTCCTGATCAATAAATGCCTTTTATTTTAGTGTCCGAATAGTGTTGCAACAATGTTTTATCCTGCTTAGCATCCAGCTCCACTTAATTTTATGCTACATTGCAGTTTGAGATCCGTTCTTAGAACTGTGAAATAGTGTCTCTTGGTCTAAGAATAAGTTGTATATTCAAGTGCTTTAAGAAAACAAAAAAAATTTTTTTTTTTCCTTTGCTTGTTTTGATAGAAAGGAAACAAATATTTAATGCTGCTACCCACGTAAATAAAAATTAGCTTCTTTGTTTCATTTTTGTTAGAACAGAATTGAGTATTTTATTGATATTATTTCCGAAAAATAAATACTTTTGATTACATTTTATACAAACAAAATATTTTGTTTCTTTAATTGCTAAATAAAAATACAATAAAGTGACAAATAAAAGTTTCTTACTTGCTTTGCAGCAAATATGTATTTTGGCCTAAAAAAGAAGATGACACAATATCCTAGAATTTTCAAGTATTTAGATTCGCTGTGATCCTAGTTAGTTTGGGTATTTGAAGTTTTACTCTATGTTTATGTATTAAAATTTTTCTCTGGTGACCAACACAGTCTATAAAATTTTAAATATCGGTCACTATTATTGAACATTCAGTTGAAGAATTAGTAGATGATTTTGATTTACTACCAATGAACGCTTTCAGGTGCTTTGAATGATTTCATCTTCCCATCATATTTTTTTCAAAAGAAAACATCCGTTCCTTTCTTCTTAAATCTGTTGTTTAGCTGCTTATAATATCACCGAGGATATTTATTTTAGCTATAATTTTCATTATTTTTTAAAGTACACTGTAACAAAAGTATCGAAGATGGATGAAAGGATGAAATTAAGAAAGGTTTGGAAAAAAATGGGCCACAGTACTACGATGATTCCAGATAATTATGTAGTAGTATACTGTAGTGCTTTAAAGATTTGAATATCAGAGACTTTTGAGTGCTTATTTATATTTCCAGAAATATTAGCCACTTTAGAAGGCGGTTCTCTATAAGTTGATCACCATGAAAGATTTCACTATGTCCGCCGGAAACATCGCGGAGGGAAAAAAGTTAGATAAAAGCACCCTCGTTTAAAACACAATGGAGGAGAAAAAAAGTTTTAAAAAAAAATTTTAAAAAAACATCGCAGTTCCTAAAGAATTCAGGAACAGAACATCATGGGTAAAAATAAAATTTTGCTATTTTAAAACATCGTTGTACAAAACATCAGGGAAAAATAAATTACCCTACAAAACATTGCAGATATGTTTTCGTTAAAAAAAATTTAATGTGTATTCATTGATGCAGTAGGCCATAATTTGTGAGAGAGGCAAAAAATGAGGATTATTTTTACCCATATCAGCACTGAATTAATAATTTTAATTGCGAAATTAAAAAGGAAGTTCAGGCATTGAAAAATCGAAAAATTAGCAGGAATAGCAGGTAGGTATATAATTTCAAACCTGTTCGGTTAGTTACCATGAGTATCAAAGTATACCTAAGTGTCCGAACATTATTTATTGCATTTAGAGTTTTATAAAAATATATCTTCTATATAGCATATAAAGTGCATAAGTTTAAAAATTTTTCTAAACATTTCGAATACTTTAGTAAAATAAAGAAAGGTATGGATATTTTATTCTTTTATCTTTTAGTATGTTCGAAAATTTTCTATTCAAAGTGTTAAATCATTTCATAACTACATAATTTATATTTTATCGTTAGGTGACATGAGAGTAAATGAACAAATTGAACTGACTGCCATTCATGCCATTTGGATGAGGGAGCACAATCGAGTCGCCACACGGCTGCATTCTGTGAACCCAAAATGGGATGACGAAAAGCTATTTCAAGAAAGTCGACGCATTGTTATAGCAGAATTACAGCATATAGCATTTAATGAATTTCTGCCTCTTTTATTAGGTACGAGCACTTTTTTTCATGAGAGTACATTTGAAACTACCCATTATTAGACAATTACTTGGAGTTACTCACAAAATTGTATTTTTAAATATTTCTAAACAATTCAGTTTAAAATTTTATGTTAATAGCTGAAAAAGTGTTACAAAGTATTAAATTTTACTCAGTATTTTAACATAAATAAATAGGTAATGGGGGAATGTATTGTATTATAGCTTAAACGTAGTAATTATTGTTTATAGTAGGAAATTTACATAAATTTTAATTGCTATATTTATTGAAAGATTACATATAGTAATTTATAATATTTAATGCCTTAGGACAGTGCCCGCGAGCTGCCGAGCGGAAGAGTTTCTGAGCATTGGTAGTTCAACCTGGGTTCGATTACAAGCGAAGGAGCTGGTTGAATAAGTGCTTTCGTAATTCTCCCATGTGTAACGCGGATACTAGTCAGTTTTGCTTAGATGATCCTCCACGAAGGCATTCTTTCTTAGGCAGGTAGCCCTCGAGTGCTTAGCCGCTAACAAACCCTTAGAAACGTAAAACTCTACAAAGTAGAGAATGCAAATTTTAGGTTTATATTCTTTAGGGAAGACACTAAGCCAATTGATTGTCCAGGATTGACAAAACAAAATATCATCACGGACAGAATTATAACAATGTCCTTGATCAATCCGAACGATTCTAATTAACAGCCTATGATCGACACGATGACAAAGAAATTTTATTAATGATGTAATGAAGAGTAAACGTATTAATGAAAATTTATCGCCTCTAACGACTCGGCGCCAGCATATGACCAACACTTCATAAGGTCGATGCTGGCATACTACTGAATTAATACTGCATAGTATCAACTAACCGTTAAATCTATGTTGCATAAGATTGCTGCCGTCATAAGACAAGCACTAATTATCTGCATATGATGGACACAGTGGAAAATAAATTTTGATAATGATGTAATAAAGAGTTAAGGGATTATTGCACATTCAGTCACCTCCACTGAGATAGATATTTCGTAAAGTAGATATCGTAAGGTAGGATCGACACGGTATAGAATTGATGCCAACGTACGACTACTTACGTACGATTAATATTGCGTAGCGTCAGCTTCTTCATAGAATCAACATTACATATGATCGACATTTCTTAGGATCAATACTGCGTAACGTCAGCTCGGCATAAAATCAACATCACATAATGTCAACACTCCTTAGGATGAATACTGCGTAGTGTCAGCTCGGTAGAATCAACATTACGTAATATTGACCAGCCATAAGATCGGCATTAGTTTGTAGAGTCCACTAGATTCACTTTTGTGTGAAAACTGGGACATTAGTAACTTCATAGAGGAAGGGTTAAAAATATCCTTTATTAATTCTTTAAAATTTACAATGCGTCAACTCGACACTAACAAACTACGCCTCTTCTAGGGCGGTAACTGAAATCAGGTAACGAAACTAAAAATTTGAAGATATGAACAAGCGATAGAACTAAACCGCAGGGCAATCAATTGGTAGCTAAATCCCATTTCTTAAATGCCCTTCGAAAACTAGAGGCAGCAAGTAAATGCAGTTAAGCCACTCGAACCAGCAATAACTCTGGGAGCAAACGCTTAACCTTTTAACTGTCATGCCCGAGATTATCTCGGGCAATTTTTTTTTTTTTTGAGTGCATCGTATTGTCATACTCGAATATATATCGGGAGATGTTTATTTTGGCTACATTTGGTTTTTCCAATAAAAATATTTGACAATTTGTGTACCCAAATCATCAAAATAACTTGACAGTTAAAGGGTTAAACAGCAGAGGTGATGGCAGTAGCCTAACTCTTCCTCTTTTCTACTGAAACTCGGTTTTTAAATTTCTTCACCGTAGAATTTGTATTCCTTCACGCGCACTACCAAATTTAAATATTCCGGCACTGACAATTAGGGAAAGAAGGCTTATAGAAAAGAATGGCAAATTAAATAAAAATAAATATAAGTCCGTACAAGTTTATCGGCATATGATCAATGCGTTAGAAAAGAAATTTTGATAATGACGTAATTAGGACTAACAGGATTAATACACAATTGTCACTGTATGAATCGACTCTGCATACTATTTACACTACTACGCTGTACACGAGCTTTCTAAAATTAAGAGGATTTTCACATTCGATCGATTATTTACAGAAACGTTGGACAGAGATTAATGAAACAGGTTATGAACACAAGCTGATATAACACAAAACAATATACCATACAACAGTCATAGTCCCTCATCATGATTGCGGGTAAGGAAGGTCTAAGAGATGAGAAGCAACAATGAGCAAAAAAAAAAAAGACAAACTAACGATAGGTATGGTTTCATTTAACAATCACACATTACTCACAGCGTGACTTCATACTAAAAATGAGGCAGTAATCGTTCCCTCTGCTGTGGCGATCGCTTCTTCTACAACAATGTTGTATTCAGGGCTTTAAGGATTCTGGGGTGGAAGTCACATCTGACCTTGTAAAAGCTTCCTAAGTATGTTCTATAGGATTTAGGTTTGGAGACCTGGCTGGCCAATCTATCCGTATATTCAATTTTTTTGAAAAGTGTTTTCTGGTTATCCCTAAGATTAACGTGAATACTAGAAAGAAAGGCCTTTACGAAGGCGAAGGCACTCTCTTCTCTTAGGCAGTTATCCCTACCGTGCTTTGCTATATTCAAATAATCTAGATAATTTAATAAATCTGAGCAGTAAAAAAGGGGTTTTAATTTGGATGACTGCATTTTAAAAGAATTAAAACTAGAAGAGTCATTTTTTCGTTGGGCAGTGTCTAATTCTGAATGCTTTCGCTAATGAGATGGGCTGCGATCTGTTTAATAAATTAAAAAACAGTGCTGGATGTCAGACTATTTGCCATATCGCACAGATTTCTACTTCATAAATTCTCGAAGCGATAACAGCGCTATTGTTTAATAAAAAATTTAGTTTATGTCATTTATGAGTATTTAAGTTTCTTTCATTGAGATGTATTATTCTCGTTCTTTAGGTAAAGATGTCGTGAGAAAGCATGGTCTCGAAATAAATCCCAAAGTTGGATTCAAAGGTTATGACTCCGAATCTGATCCTAGCATGTACAATGTTTTCGGTGCTGCAGCTTTCAGAGTAGGACATAGCCTTATCGAGGTAAAATGAGATTAAAACCGTTTATAAATTTTATATTAAATGAATTTTCAGAGTTTCGCGATAAGAGCACCTACGATCTAAGAAGTATTATTTCCAGTAGTATATTTCTGGAAATTCTGATGATAGAATAAAAGCAGGATTATTTCGAATTTTTCTCTAAATAGCATTCTTTTCCTTTTTACCTATCTCTGTTAAAGGTAATAATTTGTTCATTACCTTGAGTTTAAGCGTATAAAAAGAAATTAATCTGATTTAAGGTATCTCGAATTTTTTCATGTTAATAAACATTGATTAATTTTCAGTCTTATCTTATTTGCCATAAATCAATGCACTTCAAATGTCCATATAAGAAAACTTTTAGTACAAAATTACTATATATATTATACTATAAGTCTATTCACTATTATTACTATATTATATAATAGTATAAGTCTATTCACGTAAAATACACCATAGTTTTTTATTTCAAAAATAAAACGAAACAATTTGTTCTTTTTTGAAATCTGAAAAGGTTCAGATTTTAACAGTTGCCCTAAAAAGGCTCTTTTAAGGTTTAATATAGTTTATCAGTAGAGATTATCAATAGAGATGGCCCAGGTGGAGTAACGAAACATTTTATACGATACTGGATGAATATATGTTTGATTAACTCGTGAATATATGTTTAGACTAACATGGTTTAGACTAACGTGTTTAGACTAACATGGATTGTATATCTCCTGTATATTTGAAAAGCGGAAAAACATATGATCTAATTCTATAAATACATTTCATGTTTTTAATTAGATGTATCTTGAATTAAATATATTTTTATTTAAATCTATCAGATTAAAAAATAAAAATAATGTTCTTGAGAATTGCATCTGTTGTTCTTAAACAGTTTAGTTTGTTAATCAATAATATACAGATTAAATTTGAAAGATACAGGGGTTGGACAAAAATATGGAAACACCTTTAAAAAACCATGTTTCTTTGCTTAATATGGTGTAGAAAACCCATTGGCATCCAAAACAGCTTGCAGTCTTCTCGGAATGGATAAATACACTTCCTGTATGTTTGCCAAGGGAATATTATACCATTCTTCCTGCAAAACGGTGGCAAGTTCAGATAACGATGTTGGCGGTGGATAACGAGAACGCACTTTCCGTTCCAATGTAGACCACAAAGGTTCGATAATATTCAGGTCTGGTGACTGTGGTGGCCAGGGGAGATGGGAACAACTCATCCTCGTGCTCAGAAAACCAGTCCTGGACAATGTGTGAGCTGTGTGAACAGGGGCTTTGTCGTCTTGGAAGACACCATCACCATCGGGGAACAAAGTTTGTACCATGGGATGAACTTGATCGGCCAAAATGTTCACATAAGTCTTGGCAGTCATGTGCCCTGACACCAGTTATCATGGGGCTAGCAGAGAACCACGATATGGCTGCCCAAACCATAACAGAACCCCCTGCCATGTTTCACTCTTGGCAACAAGCAGTCTGTATTATAGGCTTGAGATGGCGCGTTCTCCAGAACGTAAACTCGGCCAGAAGTGGGAGGAAACAATGTGAAAGAAGACTCGTCAGACCATATTACTCGCTTCCACTGCTCTATAGTCCAGGCTTTATGACTTTTTAAACACCACCTTTTCCTGTTACGGGCATTAGCATCACTGATGAGTGGCTTCTCAATTGCAGCACGGCCAGCAATTCCCTGTTTATGAAGCTCCCTTCTAATTGTTTTGGTACTCACAGGGTTCGGTAACACAACATTCATTTCAGCAGTAGTAACTTTTGCAGCTGTGGTCTTCTTATTTTTCCGTCACAATTGCCCTTAATAATCGTCTGTCACGATCACTCAGGACACACTTTCGTCCGCGCTGTGATTTAGCAGATGATGTTTTTTCCGCTTTTCAAATATGCGGAATAAATCTTCGATACAGTACCTCTTGAAACACTAAACACCTCGGCTACCTTGCTTACGGAAGCACCTACCATACGTGCTCCAACAAATTTGCCCACGTTTCGAAGTCTGTTAACTCTGACATAATGCAATGACAACCTCACATAACAGTACTCCGACAACAACTGAACTGTTTTAGCACATTTACGAAGTTGTATAGGTGGCGTTAGTAGCCAAAAACGCCAGCGCCACCGAAATATTTCATTAAAATTAATCTTTCTTTTCAAACATGCATTTCACAAGGTGTTTCCATATTTTTGTCCATCCACTGTAAATATCTTGCATTTTGCGATTCGCAATAGTCTCGAATGAAAAATGAAACAACACATTTACAGTGGATAACATTTAAAGTAAATCAACGCAAAACTGCGTTTCCAGACCGCTAGATCTTTTGGGCTAAAAAAAACAACTTATGAATAAAAACAATAAAAGCTTTATCGTATGCAAGGTCTGATTGAAGGCAACTCACTTTCTCGGGCCTCCCCTTTCAGGGGCCTTCCAATCTTCCTATAACTTTAAAATCATGTACAATTTTAAATAGCTATTTTTTTATTTCAATTTTTTCAAATTTAATTTCAGTGTTGGGTCAGTCAAATTTAATTTCAGTGTAATAATTTCATTTCAGTGTCTATTAAAAATATAAAACTAAAAAGAATGAACCAAACTTTAAATTTCGTACTTTAACTTTTTAAGCCTTCCTTCAAAGATCAACCAAGGGAACGTTACCTTGCATTCTCACTGGCTACTGATATCGTTTAGCAAAGCCTTGATTTGAAAACCAATGGTAAACTAATGGTTTGGATGGAAACTATTGGTTAGGACGTGGTAACCTGCACATACAATCTCTGCTACTCTCGTAGTGTCACATGAGTGTCAGAGTCTTTCCGCTATTGTATTAGGAACGATTATATACTTAATTCAAATGAAAGAGAAACACACAAGTGAAAAATTTAAAACCAAGCAAAAAAATCAAACTTAGTTTAATTTTTTTGGGAGAGGATGAGGGGGGTGATGAAACTGTCGATTTTGCAGACAGTGCTCCCTTTTCTGCAGCGATTAAAAGAAAATTGTCGCTGGTGTAGTACTTCTAAACAATGCACCAGTGCCTGATCGCCTTCGAAATCGTTTCATTTAAAATTTAAACAAAGCTATAGTTAACTCTTTGCCTAACTGAAAATATAGTTGATTAATAAATTAATAAATAATTTAATTACATTGCCTTTGTCTTATCTCTCTAATTTAATTAATTTTTGCTCATCATAATTATCCAAATTTCCCTTTATTTCAATCTTTTTTCGGATTGGAGAGGGCCACTTTTTTTTTATTATTATTTTGGGTCATATATAATAAGGTGAAACCATGAAAACAAAATATATAAAAATGAAAAAGGTATATTAATAAATAATTTTAATGAAAAAATAATAAATTACTAGATAATTCCCATCAATGAAATTTACTTCATTGAAAAGAATTAGAGGAGAAAAGACTTCGAAAGAGATTTTTGCCCCTGCGTCCTACGTTTGTAAACTGGACCCGATCGCGAGTTTTTGAAATTATTATAAAAAAATATGCTACCTTTATTAAAGCAATTATGCAGAAAATTAAATTGCCTTTGATGACTTATAGTGGTGAGCTATTGAACGCATATAAATTATTTAGGAATTGATTACTATTATTACCCATTTTGTGTCCAGCAAGATTGTTGTTTAAAGACTGCATAATAATAATTATATTAGAAGTAATGGAAATCGTGATAGTAATTAAATAAATTTTTATCTAATATTTTCTGATTACTTACCATATACAATACATTTGTAAGCGAGTTTTAAAATTACATTAAATAAATTTTTTCATGCATGTGAATATTTTCTACGGTGTAAACGCAACCACAGTAGAAACCATTAACTGAATATCCCGTATACATTTAAGTTAGCTTATCACTCGGAGTTCAACCTCTTTTCTTGTCTTATTTCTATATTTTTATTATTACTTATAACATCGAGCTTTTTATGGTTTATTGCAAGCTGTTGTGAAAACAATTATGTAACATTTTTACTCTTTAAAAAAAAAAAAAAAAAAAAAAAAAAAAACTGCCAACCGGTCAAATCAGCAAATGAATCCGAATATTCTGGAGAAAATAACTGGAAATAAATTTCTTTAATCTTTAAACTATCTTTATCTTTAATTCTTTTTTATATTTGAATAACTCCTGTTTGTTTTTTCAGAATGATTACCAACCCATTTACTAAGCTATATGTTTTACGGTGGTCGTAGCACAAACACACGTCTTAAAATGGCTCTCATACACAGTGCATCCACAAAGGTTTAAATCCAAGTTTCGAAAATTGAATAAAACAACGTTTTAAGTTTTTGTCCTTCAATATGCCATCCTTGTAAGTCTACACAAAGTTTATCAAGCTCATACTCTTACTTGATTCATTCACAGAACTCATCTTTTGAAACATTGTTTAGGTCTCTGTTATGATTTTCTAAATGCTTTCAATATTATTGAAGAATAATGTTTGAGGTCAGTTTTATATTTAAGGAAATGAAAGTAATCACTTAGGGAACAATCTAAAAGTGACAAAGTTGAAAATTGTAACAGTTTTTTTCCCCAAACACTTTTTGATAGAATGGAGTTGTGTGAGGGCATTTGTCGTGCAACATAAACATGTTATTCGATTCAACTCTTCCAGTCCTAATGAGCTGAATGCTCTTCAGGAATCTGTGAATTACGTCTTTATAGTAAAATATGCAGTCAACGTCTGTCCCTCAGATTAAATTCCTTATAAATTTTCAATTAAAAATGCTCGCCAATATGATCTTTCTCGAGATTTTCTAAACCTACAGTGTCTCAAAAAAGTGATGGGACACTTGTGCTTTACAAAAAGAAACTGTAATAAAATAAATTAAAAAAACATGTAAAAATTTTTTGTGGGTGTGTTTCATACTTAAATTTTAGTAACAATTATTACATAACATAAATTTTTCAAAAATATTAAAATATTAATTTAATAAAATACAATTGTTTAGAACGGAGCAAAAAAATGGCTCACATAAGTGATGGCACACTACGTACTATGCAACAAAAATTGTCTGAAGTAAGCAATAAAAATATTTTGGGGTATTTATTTTACTCAGAAGCAATTGGCAATAATTTATAAAATCGTCTGCAGTATTTCTCTCCAGTTTGTTTTGGAAATTTGTGTTTTTTAGCTCTGTGCAGCTATGAATGCTAAACGAAAAGAAACTTTGCCTGAAATTCGAAAAATTAGTTATTAATTTGCATATTGAACGTGGAAAATCTATTAAGAGAAACAGCTAAAACAGTTAACTTGAGTCCTTCAACAGTTTTCAATATCATTAACGATATAAAAAGAATCATATGATCCAGGATAAAAGAAGACCTGGCCGACCATCAAAACTATCCAATGGAATAAAGCGAATTATCGTTCGAAATATTAAAAAAAAATCCAAGAATGAGTGCTCCTAAAATTGCTGCTGATTTACAAGCATTATATGGAGTAATTGTTAATCCTGAGACTATTATAAGTGTAATTCGATTTGCTGGATATCACGGTAGAGCAGCAGGAAAAAATTCTTCTTAAGTGAAAAGAATAGAAAACTCACAGTGACAAACTTCTTAAGTGAAAAGAATAGAAAACTGGCTTTCGCAAAATCCAACATTAAGAATTCTGATTACTGGAATGAAGTTATATTTGCTGATGAGAGTAAATTTAATATATTTGGTTCTGACGGTAGAATCTTGTTGTGGAGAAAACCCAGGAAAGAATTTCGCAAACAGAACTTGTTGTCAACAGTAAAACATGGTGGAGAAGGAGTTATGGTATGGGGGTGTATGTCGTCCGCTGGAGTTGGTAATCTTGTTTTTATTGACAGTATAATAGATCAGTACAAGTATATTGACATTTTAAATCAAAATTTGAAATCTTCAGCACTAAAATTGAACCTTCATAACAATTTTAAATTCTACCAGGACAATGACCCTAAGCACATTGCTTTGAACGTTAGACTCTGGCTGCTATATAACTGTCCTGAAATAATAAAAACACCACCAAAATCTCCATTAAATCCCATAGAGAATATTTGGCAAGAATTGGAATCAAGAATTCGCAAACACACCATTTCTTCAAAACAACAATTAAAATCGGTGCTTCAAGAAGAATGGGGTAAAATCACTCCAGAAATCACAAAAAAATTAGTGGAATCCATCCCAAAAAGATTAAATCATGTAGTAAAAGGAAAAGGAAATCCAACAAAATATTAAAACCTTTTAAAAAAAGTAAAATTTTTGGATAAATATTTGATGGAAAAGTAAGTGTCCCATCACTTATCGTGGCCATTTTTTGCTCCGTTCTAAACAATTGCATTTTTATTAAATTATATTTTAATATTTGAGAAAATGTATGTTATGTAATAATTGTTACTAAATTTAAGTATGAAACACACCCACAGAAAATTTTTACTGTTTTTTAAATTTATTTTACTACAGTTTCCTTTTGTAAAGCACAAGTGTCCCATCACTTTTTTGAGACACTTTAAGTTTCTGTGACCATGGTGAGTTTTCTGAAATCTGAACATGTTATTTCTATTCTATCTCAGGATCATAAGCAAAGTACTTAGTTTGATTTCCTGTCACAACTTGTTTAAAAACATCAAGATTAATTCTCGCTTTATATCAAAACGTTTTTGCTACTCTTGGCTAAGAATTTGAATACATGATAGCAGTTTTTCTGGATCAAAGCAAATAATTTATGCAGAAAATTCTTTTCGAGAGCAGACGATAGTTTTGGGAAAGCAAGTTAAGATCTCATAGTAACAAATGCAGCCAATTATCGCTTAGTAATTTTTTATAGTCGCTACTATTAAATAAGGAAAAATCTTTATTTATGTACCATGTACATCGCAGTGCAAAAACTAGATCCATCAAATTTTGAATATACATAATCCTCTACTCGATCATTTGAAACCTGGAATACCAAATTTTGAATTTCGAACTTTTTCTCCCGGGCTGGATGCGTGAGATTTTCGTGCTTTTGATTGCGTATAATAAAATTTTCCTGTAGACATCCGTCGAGAAACATCGTCCTCGTAGGCAGGTAGACTTCCTATGCTTCGACCACCGTCAAATAATCCTATTCTTTTTCAAACACTGTTTTTATCGTATGATCAAGATTTTTCTTTGAAATTTTAAATGTTTGTTTCTTTACTTTACAACGTGTAATGGAATGCAATGAATTTTTCAGGGTACGTTGGATTTAATAGGACCAGGTTACTCGAAAGAAAGAGAAATACCCCTTCACACAGCATTCCTCAATCCTCATATATTTTATGAAAAAGGTATGGATTTGTTACTGAGAGGTCTTGTCAGAGAAAAAGCGATGTCTGTGGATAGTTACATTACTGATGAGGTATGTTAATTAATACAAGTTGCTATTTTGTTACCCATATAAATTTAGAGTATTTTCTTTGCAGAAATGCAATAAGCAAAGCTTTCAGATTTTTATTTTTTCATTATATAACCATATTACAAGAGTTCCAGTTGCAGTTACAATGATCTATAAATTATCGTTATTAAATAAAGTTTAAAATGCGTGTAATATTTCATATCATAAATATAGAAAAATGCTGATTCTGTCCTTTGTTGTGTATCTAAGTTGTTTGTATCTAAGCTGTGGTTTGAAACGTTAATATGTATAATTTATATGAGGCGCTAATTGTACTAATTGCCTATGGCGCAGAAAATACCGGATACCGGCCTATTAATAGAACATGTGTTGTAGAGACATTAGGTATTCTTTTAAAGCAAGAGTGACGAAAAATTAGCAATCGCCTTCGCCGGGAATCGAACCATGGACCTCTGGAATACCGGCCCAGCGTGCAGAACCACTACACCACGAAGGCACGCTAGGAAAGCGGGAGAAATACCTTATATACTCCCCTTTTTAAAGGGCGACTGGGATTTTTAGGGGACCCAATGGCCAAATCCTGCGTGTGGAGAATCCTCATCCAACACCCTTTTAGTTCGGGCCCACTGTAGAGACATTAGGCATTTGGGAAGCAGGCAAGATGAAAATTAGCAACGCCTTCGGCAGGAATCGAACCACGGACCTTTGAAATACAGGCTCAGTATGCTGGCCACTACACTCCGAAGGCACGCTAGGAAGGCAGCAGAAATATCTTATATACTCCTGCGTTTAAAGGGCGACTGGGCTTTTTAGGAAACCCAATCGCCAAATCCTGGGTGTGGAGAATCATCATCCACAACCCTTTTAAAGTGCTATTGTGGTTTTTGGGGGACCCAGTCTCCAAATCCTAGGTGAGGAGAATTATCATCCAACACCCGTTTTAGTTCGGGAGCCACTGTAGAGACATTAGGATTTTTTTGGAAGCAGGCAAGATGAAAAATTAGCATCCGCCTTCGCCGGGAATCGAACCACGGACCTCTGGAATACCGGCATAGAGTGCAGAACAATTACAAAAGGAAAGCACGCCAGGAAAGCAGGAGAAATACCTTATAGTGTAATAAATTTATTTATTACAATAAACAAAAACTTATTTTTGAAAGTTATAAATCCTGTTATCTGTGTAAATATTTTGGTTAATAAACTAACGTGTTGTAAAAATAAAAATTTTCTAGTCAATTACTTTCAACTACTTATGATTACAAGGAAGAGAAACTAACTGAAGTTTAAAGAAACTTTGAAGACCATAAAACTATATGAGAAAGAAATGCATTTAGATATAAATGGTATTAAACTGTAAAGTTGTGAATGGAATTTTGAGTAAAACCTGTAGATGATCTATTATGATCGGAGAATAAAACAAGTATTTTAAAAATTGTAAGGAAATATTTGAATATGGAGTAAATGAAAACAATCCATATCGTTAAAATGAATAAAAAGGGATAAAATGTTGGAATTACGAGTGATGAGACAGAAATAAAAACATTATAATAAATAAGTTAAACTAGAATTAAGAAATATAAACACAGAAGGGAAATCATGAACGTAAGAAAAGCAATTAACAGTTATAGACTTAAGTTTTTTTAAAAAAAATATTCGGTAATGTAAGGAAGATATTGTTAAACATGTGAAAGAAATTAGAAATTCTGTAGAAAATTTAGTAAAAGAACTAAGATCACGAAAAATAAACGTTTCTTTTTAAATACAATTTCATACCACTAAGTTAAAGTGTGTATAGAATACTAGAATGGTTTAAAAAAAGTAAATGAAGTTAAAATTCAGAATATATTGAACATTATAACGTTAAAAAAAGTGTGAAATTGCATCTAAAATTAAGTAATGTAACAAATAAACAGCATGTGCGGGAACGTTTGTGAAATATAACATATAAGTTAAAAATCAGGGTATGCTGAAATTTATGAAAGGTATGAAAAAAAATAGTATGTGGAAATTAAATAAAATATTACAAATTAGAAACGTTAAGTATTAAAAAAATATGACAGTAAATGAATATGTTATTATGAACAGAAAACCTGAGAAATAAGTTAAAGTTTCATGGAAAACTAGAAAGGATAAAAGTATCAGAATAAAATTGAGTAATAAAAACAAATTATCTTGTAGTTTCATTTTCATGACATGATGAACTATCATTAAAGGAAAGTCTTTTTTATATTTGTTTCTTTTACATTGTTTTCAGAGTCGCGCATTGAATAATTTAACACCAGACTTAAAAATATATTTCTAAAACATATAATTCACTTTTTTCGTCAAGAGAGGCAGCATCGCCATTTCATCAAAATTAAGATGCAGAAAATATTTCCCGTTGCCAATTTTTAAAAAACTAACTTTAAATGAAAAGCAGGAGGTCTACAACTCAATCAGCAGTCTACCAACACCTCAACTCAATTCGTGACCACGCCTCCTAGTGGGATGACGTTGCCTTTGGCCCCGCCCTCTGTGTGATGTCATTGACCACGCCCACACCGCACACCGCGTGTCGGTGAAACCCCACTTTTTATCTACTCATATTATACGACTGAGGTAATGGCGATACGCTGTACTGATGGATCGACTCCATGTGGTAACTGGTGTTGGTTGCGTTTGTTAAGGTTGCTTATTACTTACTACATATAGAACTAAAATACATTTAATATAAATCTATGAGAAGTTCTATTAACAATACGTATCAATATTGAAGGCATAGCAAACAATTATTGTAAGTTATTGCCCCCATTGTGTGAGTACCTTGCTAGCGGAAAGAGTCTCTCTAGTTAAAAGTCTTAAGAGCATTCTGTGTTCTTGCCTTAATTAAACAATTTGTAGAATGATTTAGTCACACCCTCTTAATTTTTAGGTTGCATTTTACCCATCCTCTTATTCGTTATAGATGACACGATAACAGAACAGAAAAAGGATCATTTAGTCCTTCAGCCTCCATGAAATCGAGAGGCTTGGTGACAGACACAATGCAGATCGCTAAAATCCCTTGGAGTTAAAGTTATGGTGTCTTGTAATGTCAAATGGAGCTGCAACTGAACGAATTATGTCTTCTTACTGTCACTGCTACCTGTGGGGGGGGGGTCCGCACACATCAATTTCTTACCTTTATGTGCTCCGCCGTTCGAGTAAGAGAACAGACTCTAGTGGACTTGAAATGAGTAGCAAGGAGTGATGAATCTCGATTCCGACTAATTAATACCGATGGGAGGCTGAGAATATGGCTTCAGACTCATGAAGCCATGAACCCTGTATGGCAGATTGGAACTGTACGAGGCCATGGTGGCTTAATCATGGTCTGGGATGTTTTTTCTTGGCAGTGTTTGAGATCTTTCGTACTTGTACCAAGCTCAGTATCATTCGATACGTAGAGTTGCTGAGCTATCATCTGCATCCATTTATGTTGTCCTGTCATTCACACGGAAATGGAGTATCCCAGAAAGATCACTACACCTCTCACAAGTCACGGTTGGCTACTGCGTGGTTGGATAAGCGTTCTTCTAATTTCTCTGTCATAAATTGGCTACTTAAAAGCTCTGACTTAAATTCTACTGAGCATCTTTCGGACGTTTTGGCGAAAAGTTTGAAATCTCATCATACAATACGAGCGATTCTTACTAAATTATAGACAGCTCAATCCGATGTTTGGCAAGCCATTCTCGTAGAATGCTTTCAGAAACTTATTGAACATTTGCTTCGTAATTTGGCAGCCATTATAAAGGCCAGAGAAGGCCCAACTCGTTATTGATTAGCTATCCCTAAGTCAGTGGCACTTCAGTGTATATTCTTTTATTGACTTTTTTATCAAGCGACGAAAGCATTCTGAATAAATGAAGAACGTAAAGCAAAATACTAACTGATAGATACAAAGCAACGGATAAACCTGACCAAATATGTTAAATATATTGCTATTAGCACCATCTTACGGCCCGAAATGTCGGTGAAAGGGCCACCTAACTATCGGATTTCTACTGTGTATTATTTTTACTATTTTGAGGTTACTGTGACTTATTTTCAATTATTGTAATTTAAAATTCTCTTAAATTTATGAACTATATTTAATAAACATAGGTCCGTAACAGATTGTTCCAACCTCATAATGGACACTATGGCATGGACTTATCTGCCATTGGGATCCAAAGGGGAAGAGATCATGGACTACCTGGTTACATAAAATGGAGGAAATTTTGCGCTCTTCCCGAAATTAATTCCTGGGGTGATCTGTTCAAAGTTATGGACAGTCAGCATGTTCAAAGGCTTCGTAAAGCGTACGAGTAAGAAATTTTCTTTCATTTTAATAGCAGAAATGTAAAATGTCCTTTTTTAAAAATGTTTTAAAAAATCGCGAAATCAAAGATGTTTTCCTTATATTTAAAAAAATATATTGAGATAAATAGTATATGTATACTTCTACACTATTTTTTAAAATAAAAGACGTCTTTTCATGGATTCAGGTATAAGATATTTTGTCTCTCCTTTCTGCATGCCTTCGTGGTGTAACGATAGCACACTCGGCGCGTATTCAAGAGGACCAGGTTCGAGTCCCGGCGAGGGCTTTGCACATTTTTCATTTTGCCTTCATCAAAAAATCCTAATGACTCTAAAATGGCGCTCGAACTAAAAGGTGGTGGATGATGTTTCTTCATCACAAGGATTTGGCTATTGGGTCCCCTAAAACCCTGTCGCCCTTTAAAAGGGGTTCTCCCTTCTTTCTGCATACCTTTGTGGTGTAACGGTAGCACACTCGGTGCATTCGAGAGAACCAGATTCGAGTTCCAGGAGGACATCGCCCATTTTTCATGTCGCCTGCATAAAAAAAAAATTTAAAAAAAAAAAAAAAATCCTAATGACTCTACATAGTATTTGATAATAGAAGAATATGCAAATATAAAGAATATAACTTTCATTGTACATTTTTAAATCTAAACTTCTTTTTCAGGTCTTCAATAAATTATATTTTTCATCAAAATGAACAGAAAAATGCTCAGGACTTTTAAGAAAAACTTTTTGAAAGTCTCCGAAAAAAGAAGTTAAGAAAACATAGCACTGACAGAACCGGTTATACACAGTAAATATTTCAATAAATTTTTAATGTACATCCCTTAAATTTTTAGTAAAACAAAATGTGATTCTTAAACTGCATTACATTCGAATATAGTTAGAAAATTACTTAATATCTTAAAAAACGAATATAATACGCTTTCTGTCCCTTATGTGGTAAAGCCCCTTATGTGGGACTTCAATAAGAAATTAAAATGTCATTAATCTGAGCTAAAAATGTAAAATATTTTAATTACAGGCCAAACAAACGCAGATTTAATTTGCTTCTTCATTAATCTACTCATCGGAGATACTGTTACAATGTAATATGTGTAACAATTCTGATTTTTTTAAATCAATACGATTTTTTTAAACTCTTCATTTTAATATGATTTGTTTTCCTGTTTAAAACTGTAAGGTCATTCATTCTGTTTCCACAGTTCTATCGAAGACATTGACCTTATTCCAGCCGCCTTATCGGAAGACCACTTACCAGGGGCACTTGTGGGTCCTGTTCACGCTTGTCTAATAGCCAAGCAATTTTACCAAGTCCGAACAGGCGACAGGTTTTGGTTTGAAGTAGAAAATCAATCGGGATCTTTCACGCCAGGTGGGTAAAAATTCCATTTATTATTTCTAAGAATGCATGCTAAGTATAGTTATTGTTTTCATACTAATGCACTCTAAATATTTCCTTAATGTTGCTAAATAAGTGCAGCCTATTGCTTCTCAACGAATATTGCATTCCCCCGATTGTAGGCTTAACCCCTCCCTGAACCAAAAGTTGTCTGGAGTTTCAGAATGGCTTCATTAACAAGGTCGGTAACTTCGGTGATACTGTCCATGGACTTAATCGAAATACTACAAAAGTATTACCAAAGACTACCACAGAACAAATTTCTGTGAATTTGGTATGAATTGTTAAGTAGATGAAACAAGTCCTTAAGCGCGAGATTTTAGCTATTGTTTTATAATTAGATGCTGTCATTTGACGATTGAAAAGAAAATTGTGATTTTATTTGCTGAAGAAGTATCAAATTTTCCTGCGCGACGACGATTTCGAGTTCATGAATACAATAACAGAAGGTGGAAAAGTTCAGGAGACAAAATGCACTGAAATAAAAATAGAAGAAGAGAAAAGAAAAAGGAGCAGCAAGAAGAGTTTATCCAATCGAAATGAATTTTTGGTATGTGTATGAAAAAAGAAAATATTGAAATTTCTAAGAAAATGATTTCTGTTTTAAATTTAGGAGATACAGCTAATACAGTGAATAAATTAATAGGGTGCTACCAACATTCTGGGCCCTAAAGCTTACGCGCTTTGACATTCACCCATAGGATAACCTCTTGCAGGATTCCTCGACACACTCTCCCCAATTATTGAGTCAAATCGACAGAATTCCCACACAGTCGGACGAGCCGTTAATTAAAACCAAACGTTGCCTGGTGTGAACAGATCTAGCTCTCTAGCTTGGCCAGCGAAGTGTTTGACAGTCACGAAAACAATCAGTAAAAATTATTGTATGCAGTCAAATATCATCCTGTTGAAGTGTAAACTCGGTGTACCTTGAAACAGTGCACATGAATAACAGCCAAAGGTATCAGACTATCAAATGAAATAGCACCTAGCACCCCAGACCATAGTCGCCTACTGTCGAGCTATGTGACTGGCGATAGGTTAATATCTCCCCGATGTTCTGGACATCTCCAGACTCGCATTCGCATGTTATATCAACTCAATTCCAAATGGAAGTCATCGCAGACATTTCTACTACAGTTTGATTCCAAGTCGAACATACCTGGCCCTACCGCAAACATGTTTGTTATTGCGCATAAATGAGGAGTAATTGGCGCAATGGGCCTTGTGAACGCAGATCTCGGCCTCTACGTCGTGTGTCTATCAACGGTCCTTGCGGCTGTTGATGTCCCGGTTACACGTTGAATCATTGATAATGAACGAATCAAGTGTTGCTAGAGACGCTCTGACCATTACTCTGTCCTTGTCCTCGCTATATGTCGGCTCCTTAGGTTGACAGTGGCCTTCCCGATACTGTGCTCTGCATTGCTTCAACCATTCCTGTCAACATCGCCGAACTGCGGCATTGCTACTATCCAAATATCAAGGTATCCATTCATTTGACCACTCTGCTTCTTTTAGATTAATTGTAAATCCTGTGTCAACTGGCGACATATACTCATTTTGAGATGCATTGTGCAGTCGAAATGAGTAAATGGAATAAAATTCGGATGGAAGTTATGCCTTAATTTAAATTCCTTTTCTTTTTACACACTATTCGTATGCTAAATTATTCATTCAATCGCTGTCAAAATTTTATCACTGGCATGTTCGATAGAAAGGTATTTGTATATGAAATTTCATCACAATCACATAACTGTTCTTCGTGCGGCCTTTATTTTTTTAAGGGGAGGAGAAGGAGTGCATTTTTGCGTGTTCCAGCAAAAAACATTTGGCATACCAGAATATTTCCATTGTTGATTGTATTTGATGATAACAGGATAGGCTTTATTAAATAGCTGTTTAAATTAAAAAGCCTTTATAAAATATTGAATTTAATAAACAAAATATTAAATTTCTTATTTATCTCTTAAAACTAAAATGTATTCTTATAGTCAGCGTTTTTTATGTAGTTGTGAAATTACGGACAATAGAAGTAGGTCATCAAGAAACTATAATTTTTCATTGTAGGTCAACTAGAAGAAATATATAAATCAAGTATGGCACGATTACTATGCGACAACTCCGACAGGCTGGAAGAGATCCAGCGGTGGGCACTTCAGTCTATAAATGCTGAGTAAGTAATGTGTATAAATACATATTTATTTAAAAAATTTTATTTTCATAAATTAAAAAAAATGTGTGTTAAGGAAAATTTTGCTTTTTAATAGAAAATTTTAATATCTGAACTCACAAAAGTAAAAATCACATCAATCCCAGAAAACAAAATGATTCCTGATCAATAAAGCGCATAAAAAAGTAACGTGTAAGATAACTAAATAAAAAATAAGCTAAATAAATTTAATACCATGGTTGTGATTTATACTTGTATGTCTTGTATTTAAACGCTATAAATCTATAGCTCTCAAAAAAATATACAATTTTTAAATTTATGTAAAATATAACCCTTTTAGAATTAAGTAAGTCATATAGTGGCTTCAGAATTAATGCTTTCCTCAAACTTTTTAATATAGACTTGTAAGGCTTATATTAACTTTTAACATGTAATTCTTAAATGTAAACGAGTTTTCCCTTCCCTTTCAAATTTCTGTGGCTAGATCTCTCACATGGGGAACGTGTTATTCTTCCTTATGTTGTTTCATTACTTTTTTTTTTAATTTCATATCCTTCGCTTTATTTATTTCCAAAAGAATATTTTCCGCTTATAAAAACAACTTTAAATATCCTAATTGATATGTCAGAATGAAAGTACACCCACACCTCGTTTTATGGCCTAGATACTTTCCATAAAATTTGGCCGTAAAGCGAAAAGCAGTATAACGTATCAATAATTTTGATATAAATCCGTGCAAATTTATCAGATCTGTTCCAATTTTTTTATAAAATTATATAATATTTAGTTCATAAATCATTGTATTATCTTTATTTCCGATAAAAATGCTTATTTATAAATGAAAGGGCAAAACAGTGTAATAATAAACAGAAATCCAAAACTAAACATATAAATTAAAAAACAAAGAAATCACATGCATATATTTATACATATAATAAAAAATATTTAAAAACTTTTAATCTAATGGCGAACATTAACACGAAGCTAATAATCACTAAACTGTTATATTCTGCCATCATTTTTCTTTCGCTTTTGTGGATTAAACAGTTTAAAATTTTATTGCAAAGTTGTCTGCCTCGCATCGCTTTCTGTCTCTTTTAAAAATGCTTTGTAACAGGCAATGGCTGAGTTTACTCCTCGAAATACTTTAGCCAAAGAATTTGAATTGAAAGAAGAAGTGAAGCTTCAACGCCACAGCAAAGCCACGGAGAAAATTTAAGTCAAAAATGTGTAAGGCGTCGACAAACTTTACAGGCATAAGGACATTCCTTGAAATTCATCTATGAGTGCTATCTAAAACATCCAGCAACATTTGAGAACCTGTTAGAGCGCTATGTTGAATGATTAGAAAACGTAAATTATTTACATAAAAACTTTTAATTCTTATTTCGTTAAAGTTAGAAATATGTTTGAGTTGCCAGCTCTGATTTGATTAAAAATACATTTCGTGACATGAGAAGGTTGTAAAGACATTAGGATTTTCGAAAGCAAGAGAAATGAAAAATTTGCAACCACCTTCGCCGGGAATCGAAACACGGACTTGTGAAATACCTTCTCAGTGTACTGACCACTTCACCACGAAGGCACGTTAGGAAAGCAGGAGAAATACCTTATATACTCCCCTTTTTAAAGGTCGACTAGAGTTTTTAGGGGACCTAGTCGCCAAATCCTGGGTGAAGAGAATCATCATCCAACACCTTTTTAGTTCGGGCACCACTGTAGAGACATTAGGATTTTTGGAAGCAAGCGAGATGAAAAATTTGCAACCTCCTTCGCCGGGAATCGAACCACGGACTTCTGAAATACCGGCTCCGTGTGCTGACTACTACACCACGAAGGCGCGCTAGGAAAGCGGGAGAAATACCTTATAAGGTAATTAAAACATCGCATATAAAAAATAACTAAATTAGAAACTCTCATTGGAACACTTCATTTTAAAATTATAACCTAGACTAATAAAGAAATCAGAAACATTTTAAAGTATCTCTGTTTGAAGTTTTCTTATACAATGCTGATTCTCTGCCTTACTTTTAAGAACCGATGGCTGCCCAAAATTTCTAAAAGCCAAACTTCATCAAATCCCTCAATTTTCAATATATCCAATCAGTTAAAAACACTAACCCCAGTAAAAACGTTTTCAAATTCTTTCGCACAATATTTTCGCACAACCCAAAAACATCATCGGAAGCATTAAATTATCCTAATCAACATTTATTATTAATGTACTTACAGAGTTCTAACTTGCTGTAATTCTACATATGCCTTAGTTTGCTTACCTTTTCGACAGTCCGTCAGCACCTTTCACCTAAAACAAAACAATCAAGGACGCGGTCAGTAATTGGGAGGATGACCATTTTGCTCTTTTCTCTCCGTGTTTTTTTTTTTTCTAATTTTTTTAATTATAATAAATGTTACATCCATGAAATTATTTATGAAAATGCATTATCATCCATATTTAAAATGAAAGCATAATTTAATATAGTATTATATTAGAAATATTAATATAATAATAACCATTTATTAAATATTTAAATGCGAAAATGATTAATTGTAAAATTACACTTTTTCTGTACATAAAAAAAAATTGTATGCAAAACACACAGCAGACTAAAAAGTTCGAGGATAAATAAGAGCAAAACCTAATTGTCAAATAGCGGGGTTTATGCTTTGTACTTCCCTAGCATATCAAGTAGAATGACCTTCGCCAGCATCCTACGTGCTTGCTTCACCGCATACTGGCTTTGATTCGAAAGTCGCCTGAGGCAAAGAATGTCTACAATACATATTCTTTGCCTGAGGCGAGCCAGGCTGGTTTACATTATGTCTGCGAAAGCTTGCCTTCTTCTCCTATTCATATTCTTTGCTTTAGCTCTGCGTTCTTCGACGGGATAATTTTGAGGAAAGACGTTCATTACCTGCTCAAAATAAACAAGCGCATTCGACAAGTTTTCTGCAGTTAGCTGTTGCATACAGCATTCTTTGGCTCTTCATCGGATCAGTTCCTCGTTTGAAAGAATTTCTCTGTCAGCACCTAGAAAATCAATCAAATCACCTTATTCCAAATCCTCCAAGTCAAGATGGGTTCCTAAGTTTAGTATGTTTTGTCGAATTTCAGAATGAGAATCAACTTCGGGCTCATTAGTTTTTATGCTGTTTTTATTCTGGCCATATTCTTTTCCAAACTTGGTTCAATATGGTCGAATTTACTTCCTTCCACTATTCGCTGATGTTGTCTATGATCTCTGGTGTTGTATTTTTCCCAAACTGTTTTATTGAATAGCCACAGTCGTTTTCGTATATAAGTAGTAAGCTCTGCGTAAATAATAAGTCTTAAAAGTGGCTATTGCACTCTAATCCATTGGCTGGAGGAAAGCTGTTGTATTTTTGCGAAGATGTTCAGTGTCACAACGTCGGATAATTTGTATAAATTAATAGGGTGTTTTGGAGCATCATACAAAATAAAAAAATGCCTTGTCGCTTAAGTTACAGTCCTTCTAATTTTTTTTTTCTTTTTAAGTAATTTTTAAACCAGTTTTCAAATAGAATTTTAGTCGTCCAACCTTTCCTTTTGGATCTCCAAGTGGCAGGCAATTGTTTCTTGTTCAACCCTTTAAAACACCTTGGATTTTTGGAAAGATATACTAAAAGTGTGTTTAGCTTAATATCTACTGCAGAATTAACACTAAGAAGCAAGGTTAATCGTTATTTCGATATTTTATATCCAGATGCCGACTTTCAATATTTTGAAATGCAAGTTCTTTCAGACATTCGCTTCCAACAGAGTCCTGTCTCGTCTACATTGCAAATTTGTTCAGGTTGGTATCCATCTCTTTCAACAATTCTTTTCAAAATGTTCGGATATTCTTTAGCAACGTCATCATCTGCACTAGCTGTTTCATCTTTCCCTGTTAAGTTGTGAAAATTCTGGCGATTTTGAATTTTTCAAACCAATCTTGGCTTTTTTTTATCTTTCACAGATTCATCAATGTCCTTCCTCTTTAATTTTTCAAGAGGACTTTTAGCCTTTTCTTGGATAGTCGTTTGGCTCACTGGTATCCTTCGTTGATCATCTTTAATCTCCACGTATCTAAAAACTTTTCCATTTCTCCCACTATGGTGCTTCTTTGGCGAGTTATTTTGAAAGACTTAAATGTGCAGCAAATACGGATTTTGTTTTGATTTCTTCTTTTCTGTCCTGAATAGTGACGCACTGCGTTTTGATTTCTTCCTTTCTGTTCCGAACAGTGAATTTCGCCAGTCTTATTGCATTGCAAATGTAAACTATTTTTCCCCAGCTTATTTGCTAATATAAAGCAGCTTCTATGTCATCTTTCAGCCATAGAAGCTATGCTGTAGCCTCTTTGCTGGACCAGCATCTATGCTTCTCTGGATATAAACCTTCTAGTTTGGTTTCTCTTTATATTAGTATCAATATCCGACGTCAAATGTTTCGTTGTTATTTTTTCCTAAAAGAGGGACTATTATAGTTGACAAAATTAATGAATTAATTAAATGTATAAGGAAAATACAGTCCTTCTAATTCATACTTACCAAATATGCTTATAATTCAACAATTAATTCAAATAAACAAAACAGGAAGTAACACGTCAAACTACTCAGCCACTGGAAAACACTCAAGTGATAGCACAGGAAATAAAGTGATGACAAAGGCAAAATATAGCAGCGCCACCTGAAGGGAGAAGCTGAAACTAAATCGAGCTTCGTTATTGGGCGTGTAATGAAGCATTGTAGAGCTTAAATCGAAAACGTACCATAGCTTGAAAAGGATATCATAGCAAAATACCGTATAAAGAGCGGCCCTTATTTCGGAGAGTAGGTAATAAGTTAAAAAATGTCTGCATCATCTATCGAAACAATGAAACGGTAATGAAAGCACAACAGATATGAAAAACCGTGGACCTTTTTCGTGAATGAAATGACAGAATAAATAAAGAGGTCTTTACGTTAAAGCAACAGCTTCAGTAGATGAGAATTATGCCTACGAAGCTTGATCGCCTATGTCTCATCCCTTGCTTGCAGCTTAGGATTAAAATATTAGGTTTTATCAGTTGAGTTACGTTTTACATGTGATGCAGCAAAATGCATACTAAAATTATTTATTTATTTTTTTTATTATTTATTTATATATTTATTTATTTATTTATTTATTTATTTATTTATTTATTTATTTATTTTTTCTAAGTAGCATTAAATTTTCTGAAATCTTTTAACTTTAACAGTCGGAGTAAAGGAAAATTTATATTGAATAAATTATAAACAAAGGAAATGATAAATTTAACATTTAAAAATCCTTTTTTTTTTACTGTTGTTTATAAATTAGACTTAGCTCTTATAAATTAGACTTATCTAATGACTCTGCAGAGTCATTAGGTTATAACGTATTTCTCCCACTTCCCTAGCGTGCCTTCGTGGTGTAATGATAGCACGCTGGGCCGGTATTCCAGATGTCCGTGGTTCGTTCCCGGGGAAGGCAGTTGTTAATTTTTCATCTCTCCTGCCTCCTAAAAAATCCTAATAACTCTACAAGGTTATTTTGATGCGGGAGACATGAAAACTGTGTAATGTCCTCGTCAGGACTCTAACCTGGACCTCACGAATACGCGCCGAGTGTGATAACCATTACACCACGAAGGCATGCAGAAAATAGGGAGGGAATAGCCCCTTTTAAAGGGCGACTGGGGATACAGGACTCAGTCTCCAAATCCTGGTGGTGAGGAATCATCATACACTACGTTTTAGTTTGGGCGCCACTGTAGAGTCGTTAGATTATTTTGATACGACAGACGTGAAAAATTAGCAATGCCCTCTTCTCCGTGACTCGAACCTGGAGTTCCTGAATACGTGCTGAGTGTATGACCGTTACACCACGAAAGCAGGAATAAAGGAGCGAGAGAATGCCTTATAAGCAACAGAATTCTGTTGACCTTTAGAATAAAACTATAGACGGCAAATTTTGTTTAGGGCTACATAAGCGAAATTTCTTTCTCATTCGCAAAGAGCTAAGCAAAATGAAAACCTAATTAGCACATTGATATCTTAAGTATATTATTAAATATAATATATATATATATCAAGCAAAGCGGTAATAACAATTTTGGTCAAGAAAACATCTTGCGCAATATGCTGCAAAATAAGTAAAAAATAAAAATTGTAGAAAGCTGGCCTAAAAGTTACCAAGAGCTGCTGCTCCAAAAGGTTAAAGACGTTTTCAAAAATTAATACACATGAAAAGCAAATCATTAGACATGTAAACATAAATACAATATAAAATTAAATAACAGAAAAAGTTAAAAGTAAGCGGAAAATGGTAAATTAGCCCCAATTCGACATCCAAACAGGCTTTTCAAGGGAAATTTCAATTATTTGAACGTCGAATCAAGCTAACCCCATTACGCGTTTCGCCCGAACGAAACAGACAATTGAAACTTTTTCGCTAAAAAATTTTTTGTCAAAGTGTCTTGGAAATTTCAATCAATAGTCTCAATTCTCTGTTCCAATTTCCCGACGCGTCCGCTCAGAAAGACACATTAAGGTGTTAAAATATGTAAATCAAAATCAAACTTTCTAAATCTAGTCTAAAATTAAAATCAAAACGAAAATAAATAGCGATGAGCTATTAGTCCTAAAAATACAAATATATTCGGGCTGGGCCTGCAAGCTTAAAGATTAACAATTTAATTTTTAAAAACTGTAGATTTTATGAAACTGTAAGAAATATATTATATAGTATTTGAAATTATGTTTCTATTTATAAATTATATTTTTTAAACTCTTTTTTTTTCTTTTAAAAGGAATCCAGTGATGAAGTGCTCTGAAATACCCGAAGTCAATCTCAAGGTATGGACTGGAGTTTGAGAAGCGTTTAATTCTATATGGGGTTTTCTGTACACATTAACAGTGCATTTATGTTAAAACGACAACTGAGCAGATAACTCATCGACTCAGTTGCCTGAAAAACACATGCGTCTGACACTCGACTGAAAATTACCTCATCATCAACATTATCATTCTCCTGCCTTTTTAGTTTGGTAGCATTTCGTATATGACTGCCATTATGTTTATATTATTAAAGAAAGTTACAAAGATAATGATTCTTTACAATAGTTAATGCTATACAAAATCTGTACATGTCTGTGTTATTCAAATACAAGAAATAAAATATAATTATTCATATATATACAAAATAATGAAGATATGTACAGTAAATATTTTGTGTTCAAAAACTAATAACTCACTTCGGCAGTTTAAATTACAAATACAGGGTCAGCCTAGGAGAAAAAGACACTTTGAAAGTTTTATAGAAACAAGATTTTTAATGACATGACTAAGATAATTAATACGATTAGAAGAAGATGTCCTAAATTTACAGGAACATTCTGTAAATTCTCCAAGCATGATTCTTTTATAACATGACAGATGTCAATGCGATAGTGAAGTTGTTTCCAACCACGTTTTGACATCTACATGACAACAGTCGCAGCAGTAGGTGCTGTAGTGCGTTCTTTAATATCAACTAAACCTTTAGGAAGGGCAGAAACAAAAACGTATCCATAATGTATCCCCAAAAGAAGTAATCATATGACCTCAGAATTTCTGAACAGCACAATATTATCATAACCGCGGGAGAAGCTTCCCTTATTGGACCAATATTAATAGCTGCCTCTGAGAATCAAATATCGAATTCTGTTGTTTTGAGAAAATTTCACTGTCGATTTGTAATCCACGAGAAAATTGCTGTTTAATTTTATTTTCGTAATATTGAAAACTAAGGTGATATGCAGAAACATTTCAGTGTCCTATTAATTAAATTTCGAATGAATATGAATACGTTGCAATGAAGTTTTTAAAGTAATTTTGCCATTTTGATCGAAGAAGCAACTTTATTAATCAAACTTGCAGAATAACTGAAAAAATTTCAAGCGCATGAATTTTCCAAGTACGGATATTTTACGCGCGAGGTTTCTTTATATTTCTTATTGGTATTGTGTTGGTAGCAATACGTTACAATCTTAAATTCTTCCCTCACCGGAAAATTTTCCAACAATTTTTTTTTCCAATTCTATGGAACTTTTAAGACAAATTGTAAGTTTAAATACATTAAAATTGTTTACAAGACAAAACTGCTCAAACATACCTGTAACAAATATAATTAGATACCAGACCAAGTCGGTTCAAGTGCTTTTCAAGCAAGCATTTTAAATAAACATACAAAATTTAATATTCTGGTATTAGAAAAATTTAAAGAATGAATTTTTAAACTTCCTATAATATTTCCTATATATTTAGCTGCGAGATGTTTCGATACAACGACTTAAACGGTCAGAATTTTGATGGTGCTTCACGATTCTCTGCGCAACTTCATAATTAAAGTGTTGTAAGAACAAAGCTCATCGTAATAGTCTAGGACTAGTCCCAGTGCTTTTATCCAACCACATTAAAGGATCATGATCAGTCTGAATGATGAACTAATGAGTTCCATCTAGGTAGAATTTTTAACTTAGCACTCTCCATTTCGATTGTACTTTATTTATGTTCAGTAGGTGAAACCATTTTGCTAAGAAATATTATTAGGTGTTCTTCACCTTTATAATTTATCTGTGATATTACAACGCTAATACCAATATTCGAAGCATCGCAGTAAACGATAAATGGATGAGAAACTTTCGGACTGTATAAGACTGGATTTTCTGTTAACCGTTTCTTGAGTTCATCAAAAACGTTTTGGCAGTCATCAGTCCAGTTTATGGTTTAATTGCAACATTTTCCTTTTAACAAATCTGTCAGTGATGCAGAAGTCACAGAAAATTCAGAAATATACCTTCGATAATATCCCGCCAAGCTCTAAAAATGACCGTATCTGTCTTTTCGTGGTAGTTTTAAGGAAGTTTTTTATGGCTTGGATTTTTACTTCTGCTGGTCTTCTTTGACCTCGTCCTATATGGCCTAGATAATTGACGGTTAAATGAGCAAATTGACATTTCGAAGACATAATATGCAGTTTAGGAATTTTAATCTTCTCTAAAACAATTTCTAGGGGCTTCAAATGGTTTTCCCAGGTTTGCTAGAATACTGAGACATCGCCAATGTAGGGTACAGCAAATTCATCACTGTTTCTTAATAATCCTGCCATCAAACGGCTAAAACCATATTGTGCATTTTTTATCCCGAATGCTAACCTTAAGGGTTTAAATATGCCAAATTTGTCACAAAAGCAGACTAACTCTGGGCTCTTTTAGTTAGTGGGATCTGCCAATAACCTGGAGTAAGATCTAGAGCAATTATAAATCTGGCAGATGACACTTTGTCTGCTAAATGTTCAACGGTTTACAAGAGAAAATACTGTGTTCTAGTTGCCTTATTCAACCGACCGTAATCAATACATGGTCTTGCCTCTTATCCAGGAACTTCAACCAGTATGAGTAGCTAGGTAAAATCCGATTCAACTGGTTCTATTACTTTGACTTTAATCACCTTTCTTATTTCAGTTTTTAAAATATCGGTTTGTCTGACAGACATCCGATAAGGTTTTTGCGCATCTAGATCTATCTGCTTATAGTTCAAAAGGATGTTCCGTACGATCAGTATATCTTAGTTCGTTAGAGATAACATAGGAATACTTGTATATCAGCTGATTTAAATCTTTTCCTTGATTTTCAGATAATAGGGAATTTAACTGGATGCCTGGCAAAACTTCAGACATTTCAGTATCTGAGCTGTAATTTAGACTCGTATTTCATCTTCATAGTCGTTTATCCTGTCTCCTAATCACAGCAAGTTTATATTTTCTGCTGGTTGAAATTACGGTTTCAGCATATTAATGTGGTACACCTAAGTTTCATTTTCTTGGGAAACTAGACTAAATAATTTGTCTCATAAATTGTCATAATTTTTAACTAGTTTTCCAGGACTTATCCACTTAACTGATAATTTGTTTGGCTTCGAAGGAGCTACAACTAGAATTAAGTCTCCTTGAAATTTTCTACCGTTTTGCGATCATACCAAAGTTGTTGCCTTTCTTTTGCTTCTTCCATATGCTGAACAGCGAATTCTTAGCATAGCCTCATTCAATTCATTAGTTGAAAAACATAGTCCTCTACCCTATTTTCTTTCTATTGTTTACCAGATTATTTTTCAAACAATAGCATAACTGAAGTTCTTAAGTTTCTGCCCTGAATAATTCTGCTGGCCAGAAACCTGCACAATCGTGAATAGTGGTTCGGAGAGCAAATAAAGACCAATGTAAGATTTTATCTCCGTACGGACCAGATTCTAGACCTAGGACTCGAAATACGCTTTTTAAAGTTCTAGGCACTGTTCTCTCTACAGGATTGTTTTGTGGGTGGTAAACAGATCTTCTTACAACTTTTAATTCCAGACTTTCCTAAGAAATAAGATGTCAGGGCACTCACAAAAGATATAGTTTGGTAAGTCTGTAGCTCTTTTGGAAACCCCATTAGACTAAAAACTTGAAAGAAATCATCAACAATCGGGGTTGATCAACAATTTGCGACAGATGATGCACCGATACATTTTGAAGACATGCAGACTGCAGTTATAAAAAATACTTTATTTCCTTAAGGTGTCAAGGGTAGAGGCCCACAAACGTCAACATTTATTTTTGAAAATATTTCGGTGATAACAAGGATAATCTTCAGAGACGATTTCTTTTTATCTTGCGGCTTTCCAACTCTTTGACATTTGTCACAAGTTTTAACAAATTTCTCGACAACTCTATAACAGTTAAGGCAACAAAATGTTTTGAATAATGCATCTTTTTTGTCTTTCTTGCAACAAGATCAGTTGCTGTTTCTTCATAACAAATAGTCATCAATTGTTTCCGATATTTATTAGGAACAATAATCAATAGTCGTGTTCCTTCACGATCTTCCTTTTTAAAAAAGAGCATTTGACCTTTCAACATATATTTCGTACCTTTAACAGATTTAGTTTAGCTTCTTCATAAAGTGGCTTCAATTCAATGCTCTCCTTCCGTTCTTGCTTAGCCTTTCTCTCAAAATTTATCAAAAATGGTCCCATTTCATCATTTTATTTTTATCAAAGTTTGGAGTAATTTGTGAAAACTAGATTTTATTTCTTGATTCTACTGCATTTGCTGTTTATTCTTTAGCTCCTATGTCTTTGATTTTCCAACTCAAGCCGCTTTATTTCTAATTCATATGCCCTTGCTTTTGGAGCCATGTTTTCTTCTTTCGTTGCCTAGACAAAACGTTCTCAATCCGCAATTATTAGCTTTAGAATTGATTTAACGCATTCCTCATTGTAAGATTGACTCTGAGTGATTAATTTTTAATTTCTGGGACCTTAATAGTGAGCGGCACTTCTTCACCTAATTCTTCAGCTACTTCTATTAAATCTTGTTTTCTACACTTGGCAACAAATGACACTTTTTTAAACAGAAAGTAAGAACATATAGCGAATTTGAGTTTCAGAAAGCAGCACTTCCTTTTACTCTGTAGCACGTGAAGAACATCAGTAAAATTAAAAGACGAAAGTAAAAGTCAGGTGACCGCCATCAGCCGACGAAAAAGGTGAGTTTCTAGTCGAAGGTCCAAATATGTAAACTGAAGAATCTAGTATGAGTAAAAAATGTTAAGGATGGAGAATGTCAAATGGATATTTGTGCTTTCACTTTGGGAAATGGATAACATCTAAGAGAGTTGATGCAGTTGTTAGGATGAGTGAGAACTGAATAGAAGAAATTTCTGGCAAGTTTTTTAATATAATCTTGAATTGTATCTACTTTGAGATCATGGTGGATATATGAATTTGGAATGAACCATGGCGCGCTGATAATCTCTCCGAGTGCTTTGTTTTGAAGAACTTGGATGTGTTGAAGGAGAGTTTTTTTGAAACAGAAAAACTCTCGGACAGCGTATCAAAATTAATTTTAAAAGGCTTTTAGTCAATATTTAAAAATTCAAATCAACTTGCTCAACCTAACTTTTTTTTTAATTAAGAAGTTCAGATGTGACACAAAGTACTTTTATAAAACACTCAGTACAATAAAAAATATATTCTTTCTGTTCTATAAAAATCTGCAAAGCTTACTCTTAATAAATTCTACTGAAGTAAATTTTAAAATATTTAAGCCTCTAACTTGATTCACACAACAAAATTCTTCATTTGGTACTCTAACACAAGGCTAAAATTTTAAATGGAAATC